ATTATATAGTACATAACTTATATTTTATGTATATGATCTGATCAACGAAGAACAAACCCTCCGCGATTGCTCACTGTGGTACCGCGGTTGCTACGCGATTGGCTGAGCGATTGAGGGCTGTCCGGGAAAAGGTATTTTGGACAACCCCCACATATATAATATTATATAATCATATATATCATCATATATCTATACAGTCTATACACATTGTGTTTCTTTCGAGGTCTGGTAGTGCAATTTGTGCATTGTTTCTGGCAATTTTCGCGCATCAAGCCATTGGGAGCCACATTTGTATTCCTCTCGACTCTCGTCAGGAAAAAGGTATGATCCTTGATCCCAAAAAATCCCTGCGCATGGAGTTGAAGCGCCACTTGCCAGATTGGCGCTGATAAGACACTGGGGATTTTCAGAGCCATTGGCCCTCTGGGGTTTCCAGAGCGTCTTCGAAAGAGGTTCGATGATTTCCCAACTTTTCCTGTTAGCGGTGGGAGACTTGCATAGTCTGTAGATGTCTATAGTATAGAACCAATAGACCTGACTAGTTCTTGAGGTTCTCCATCCGCCCAGACAAAAAAAATGGTGCTCTTCATTGAAGAGTTCTAACAAGATTCCCACCACAGTTCCGAGAGACTGATTTGATAGGTTGCAAAAGACGAGATAAGAAAACCACAGAAAATCACGGTTCCACAGAAAAAGGGAAAACGCAACTCTGGTGAATCCCAAATCTGCCCTTCCCGAAAACAGGCTCTGCAAGGACACGGTTCCGTAGGAGGTTCGTCTGCATACGACTACACACCATGTCAAGTATCTCTTGGAAGCGCACACACACACATGCATGATGCTTAGTTTATATATCTGTTTTCCTGGAATCATGGAAACGAAAGAGACCGCGCTACAAGGAACCATCCGTATCATTTGTGCGGCCATCATCAGCAACTGTATAAGAACAACGATGACTTCGGACCATGCGAAGAACCGCTTTGTTGTTGAAGGCACAGAATGCGTAGCAGACATGGACCTTCTCGGATGCAGTGCCACTACATGTCGACTATGTGTGCAATCCTTTCATTGAGTGCTTCATTATCTTCATTAGGATCATTTGGCTTGCCTTGCTTCAGCGGTATGCGGCCATTTCATATGGCAGAGGCAGAATGCTTGGCAAAGCAGAGTTGCATGGATTACAATGCCGGGAACATTTGGGTGATACAACATTCTAAGCCACAGCATCGAAAGAACATGAAATAAACATCTGTAATATCTGTAATTGTATATTCGCAGCGAGAAACCATGTATATAGTTCTTTCTTGAATTCCACAAATGCTCTTCTGGATGTTGTTAACGGCGGGGAATAGGGGCAACCTCCACTTATTGAATGACAGTCTGTGCCTGGCCAGTAAGGAAACAGTGGTATTGGATGGTACAGATCTCATCAAATCATCAAGAGACTTGCCTGCAAGGACTTAGGGGAAGAATGCACCTTGCTTCCGTTCTTTCAAAGAATGCAGTATGCACTGTATGCATGATCAGAATGCCTTGAATGCTTCAACCGGAGCCAAGGTCACCAAGGTTTGTTTAGTAGGTTGACCAAACAAAAGTCTTGAAATCATTTGAAGCCGAGGCATCTTGAGATGCATGAGCGTGGGAAAGGGCCTCCAATTGATCAGGCAGGGACTCCATGCAGTGAAGCTGACACATGCTGACACACTCAAAAAATATCGCAATCGAAAAAGTGCCAATCGACAGATGCCCATTCATTGATGCATTAAGCAGTACCCAGAGCTGCAGGCAATGCGAGATCGAATAACCAATATCGCGAGGGTGGTCAGGCAGACAACTGGATTTTTTCTTTGGACAAAGAAAGGTCAGGCTTTTGCTACTTTCCCGTGTGACACTATAAGCTTTGTGGAAGCGGGCAATCTCTAAAACAGCAGAATGTCTTGAATACGTAGGCATGGCAAGATATGATTGGATCAGCCTTGCCAAGATTGCACACGCATCTAGCCTGTGCTTGAGCTCCCAATGTGACGATCTAAATAGCATCGAATCTAGCGAGCGACGGATCGCCCAAATCCTCAGATTGCAGGATGGGCAAGTGAGGCCTCAGCCGTCGGCAGATCTTTCACGATCTTTTCTTGCCTTATCCGCCCTGCGCCCTGTACATCCCTGTACAAAGTTTACAAAGTCCATAGCAATGGTGAAACCATCCAGCTTTTGTTGAGAAGCACTAATAGGAGCTGAAAAAGACTGTATGGCGATCAGGTCGAGCAGCGCTTTTTGACGAAAGCCAGCAGTTTAACAATGTATTGATGCTTTGGATGTTGCAACAGAAGAAACTCCTGAGACATTTGCTTCTCAACTGGCTAACAAGCGATACGGCCCACGCAGCAAAACTGAGCGCAGGGCAAAGTCCGAAATCACATGAGACAAACAGTTTCTTTGTAGTGTGGCCGGTGCCAGTTTTACCTACCCTGAATATTCTCGAAGTAGTTAAGGTAGTTTGATACTTGACGTCCACTTCCGCCCTCTGACTACAACCGAAACCCACTGTGTGTTCTGTGGTTTTCTCGGCTCGCAGCTTCAGACAATCTGGTCGTCTGGCGGAAATGCAGTACTCAACTCTGAGCTTGTTTTACCCGAAGCCCTGAATATTTTGAAACGTAGTGTAACCCAGCCCTTTGTTGATCAAGTATGTTGAATTGCCAAGCCTCACGCAGCATCACACTGCTAAAACTACATGAAACAACATCTTCAACTTTTGCGCACTCAAGCAGAGAACAAAGCGTCTCTTCGTTGCCTGTATGAGGGAGCTGAACCGTGCGCAGCTCGGAGCCGGTTGCAACGTTCTTTTTGGTCGTCATTGGGGCACAAACAGACTTTTGAGCAAGCAACCTTTACCCGTGACTGCACTCAAATTCTTTGCTCCCTGATTTTTGCTCTAAGGCTCACCACATGTCCATAAGAGGCTCTGGGGTTTTGGTGGAACCCAGCAACACTATTTCCGAAGCCAATTCATGCAAAAGTTGGTGTTTTCTGATGCTGTTGTGCCAAATGAATCCAAATCAGGATAGCAGGAAACGTGGGCATTGCCTCCCTGATCTTTCAAAAGCATCTCTGCGCGTCGATGACCTTTTTCGCAGCCTAAGCTCTCAAAAACATTTCCTTGGCTGCCACGGCAGCAAATCCGATTGTCGCTACTTGCCTGCAGCTGCCACTTTTGTTTCACACATTTCAAACACGTTTAAAGTTTAGTTTAAAGGATTTTAAATGGCAGTGTTTTCTCCATGTTGGCATGAGGCCATGACGCTTGGTACCAACGTCTCCAAACTCATGTCTGCTGCCACCGTCTCGACCATGTTACCCAGATGCACAAGACAATCTTGTGAGATCCTGTGGGCAGTTGGAAATTACTTGGATGTGAGATGATGTGAGTGAATACTATGTTCAGTTCGATTGCTCCTTGAAAGTTCGAGCGTACACAGCAAATGCCAAGGCTTCTTCCTCGGTCTGCCATTGCATGGGGTGTAACTTGCCAATATCTATGAGCCGGGAAGCAGGTTCCATCTTGCATTGATGGGCCATTGATGGGCCACTGCTAAAAGTGAAGCTCTAGCTACCTTTGTCTGTGGTATCATAGGTTTGGCACGCGTGGCTTGTTTGGCGATGGTGGTGAAGCTGACCAGAAAGAGATATCTTCATGTTGAAGAAGGATTCAAGCCTCCCGGATGCACAGGCAGTTTAAGGCTTTCTTGTATCCCAGCACCAGACCGCTTCTGTGGATTCCCACAATGGTTGTCCCTGGCATGTGTGGTCGTGAGATGTTCTGAGGTCATACTACACAAAAGAAATCAACTTCTTCCATTCCCATGGATAAGGAGGTGCTGTCCATGGCGCTTTCGTGCGCTTTCCATGTCCGTCTCTACTGGTCACGACTGGTTTCAACACTTTCGACTTCTGACAGCTTTTCGGATACAGGCTGGAGCGGCCCTGCTTCTGACAGCAACGTCTTTGGATGAGTGACTTAACTTGGCTTGACATGGCTTGACCATCTTGGACCATCTTGGACCATCTTGGACGATCTTGGCCAGCGGCGTGGTTTACACAGTGCAATGTGGTGCACGCTATCCATGCGGCTGGACACTCGCCCAAGGTGCAAAGATCTCTTTCAGCAGCAGGCCTGTGCCACTCATCCCACTGCTGGTGGAACGCTGCAAGAGCTGCTGAGCTTAAGGATATCGATGATAATTCGATGATGGGATGTATCCATATGATTCCATATGTATCCGATGTCATCCGTATAGTCCTAGAACTCAGCACGTTTCAGGCAGCTCATCCTTCAAAGGCAGTTAAGAGGAAGGACTCAGAAACACGAAGTAGATGCAGGGAACATTTTCAGGAAACCCTATCAAACATCTACAGACTAGTAACATCTACAGTAGCAACATCTAGTACAGTAACTACCTGGTTTCCAGACAATTTCTCTCAAACCAATGAGATTGGTGCCGAGGTTCAACATGATCCTGAATACTTTCAGCTCGCTGTGCAATGGTTTTGCCACGGCTGGTAAGCTTCAGTGGCTGCCAGATGCAGAATCCAGTCATTGCCTCAGGGTGAGCAGTTGCTTATTCGGCAAGGGTGTGTCAAAAAGGTCGTGGAAACAAAGCTGGATTGTAACTAGACATAACTAGAGCAAAGGAAGCATCAAAATGCACATCCTTGTAGAATACTGACTATCGTGACTAGAAAATGCCATTGTGTTGGAGAGCACCCAACCAGTCCCAAGTCCCAAGAAATCCCAAGAAAGTGTATACTTTCCAAGCCAAAAACATGGACTTAGACAGGGAAAGCTTCCGCATTCAGTAGTATCAGTAGTTGAGCAATGTTAGGTATGATGCAATCATATGAATCATATGCAATCCATCCAAGACCCTTTAAATTACAAGAGATTATCAAAGAACGCACAGGGACTGCTAAGGACCCAGAGGTCATAGGCCTCACCTTATCAGTGAGACACCAAGCAATTCATCGAGGATGGATGTAAGTTTACAATGTTGGACAATGTTGGACACAAGACAGATCTTTCAAGATTTTCAAGACCTCGACATTGGCAACGGGACAGCATTTGGTGTCATACTCTAGGAATCCACCTTCAACATTTTGACCTCATATCATTCTGGCGTCTGCATGTAGTCTACGGCCGTCCGTGGCCGTCTAGGTCCGTGCAGCCTCAGCATTTCAAATCGGAAGCTGAGGCGTGACGGATCTCCAAGCATTGCTCAGACGCCTGAGCCCACTGCGCCGAAGAGAGGCGATCCAGCGCCTTCCGCTGCAAGAACGGCACCGGCTGGAGAGATCGATGCTGAGGCCAGGTGGACAACCATTTCACAACCATTTCACAACAATTTAACTTCTGTTGCAATCTGCCTCCATCTTGCTGGTCGGCCTCCATAGCTTTTGCAAGTTACTGCCAATTCACCACATGTCCAAACTTGAACAGTCTTTCACAGACTAGTATCGTATGCAGCATTTGGTTCGTTAGCAGCTTTAGAACTCTTCAGACTGCTTTGAGATTGATAGATAATTACTGCGTTTCTCATCAACCCCTGTTTAGCCTGCCTTGTTCTTGCGGTGGTGACCCTAGTGCCTGGCTTTGTTTTGTCAATGTAACAACCCAAATGCACTTCTTGTTGCACTGATTTGAAACATACAGTTCCATTGTTTCATTTTTTAAGTTGTCTGCAAGACCTTCAAGCAGTTCTGCTGCCCCCTCCAACGTAGACAAGACTTCTTTGACAATTACTTCAGTTTGGTTGGAAAGTCAAGTTGGACCAGTGGCAAGAGAACTCTGAAGCGTCGTGAGCAACTTTCAATTGTGAACCTTGTCACATCTTGTCACATCTTGTCAGATTGTTTCGTGCTCCGGAGGAAGTCCAGCGATGCGACAGAGGAAAAGAAAGACGCTTCGCGCTTGCCACGTTTGCCACGTCGCGGGACGCTTTCGGAGCGAAGTCTTTGTTCCCAAGTGAGAGTCGGCTCTGAAAGCTTCAGGCCATGTGTCATGAACTCAGCACAGAGCATGGCGAATACGGTGACTTTCATTCATTCACCATCTGTGAGCATGTCACATTCATGTCACTACTGTGCTGTATATGTGGGATGCAGAAGGTATTCTATATAAATGAGTATACATACGTATGTATACATGTACACGACACATATATGCAGATGATTCTATTTAACCAATAAAGTTTGATTCTGGCTTTATATTTTGTGCCAAGGTCCATTTGCATGAAGGCTTGTACGTTCAAGCTCTATCCTGCCGAGACTTGCCTATGGCAGTTGCAGCTCTGGGCACGCTGATCATCATGCGATCTCTGTGTCGGGCCCAAACGTACGATCAGTATCGAGCACGATCGGCTCATCGCAAGATGTGTCGCAAGACTTGTTACGACTTTGTGAGGCATCGAGCTCTGGACCTGCAGAGAGCAATTGCCACCACTCTAAGTGTGCATACCTTGAACGACAAGCTATCCTTCGTCTTTCGAACTCGCTTTTCCCTTTCAAAGAGCTGTGAACTTGCAACCCCTTCCAGAAGGGAGCCGCAGGCGGCCATCGAAGATTGGGTTGTGATGATTTGGGCAATGGATGCTTTGGACAAGTCATTCAAAAAGCCTACGCACACAGAGCTTTCTCTCCTTAATAGGGACATAAAGAGAAAGCTCAGGCATCCCAAGTTGTTTCCGTCAGAGGTTCGCCCAGGAAGGTTGAAACTCTTGAAGTTCGTCTCTGCCATTTCCACCATGCCCGGGGCTGTTCGTGGCAAGATGGAAGACCTTGGCAGTCATGGTGTTGCAAACTTTGAAGATACAGAACCAGGTGGCATCCCTCATTGCCCTCATTGCGAGAACCTCGACTGTAGCTTCCAAAAAGATGAAAACATCGACAATGCAAGATAGTCTATAGTCTTACTATGTTTCACTCATAACTCATAACCTCAAACTTCACAATCCTGTTGGAAGCCGGTAAATAAATGAATAGACATGGTGTCGAAGATGGGGAAACAAACGAACGGGAAGCCACGGAAGCCTGTTTGTAGCTCTGCTGTGCCAAGGACGGACGCTGGAGATTGTGGATGGGGGTGCTGCAAGCACACTGAAGGATCGCTGAAACAAATTCAAAAGGCCATCAGGCTTTGCTCAAACAACGCATCCAGAAATTGCAAACGCAAGCGCCAATGAGTTTTTTGTTTTTAGAGTTTTTGGACATGTTTTCAAACTGCAGACTTTCTTTGCACATGAGCAAGCCCGGCACATTTAAAGAACCAGTTGGGTCATTGGTACAGTCTCTCCGTACGTTTGCTGTGTGTGCGGCGGAGAGAGCAAGAGAACTCTCGCCTCTGGGCAGATGTGAAGAGGACCCTGGCATATGGCGTATGAAAAATATGAAAAATATCATGCAATTGGTAAAATATCGTGTACAGTACTGTAATTGGTAAGAAATTTGCATGCTGCAACTGCAGCTACTGTAGTGACTCATTGCCAGCCAGACTTGCTGCGGACCTTGTCAATGCTTGGAAGGCCTCCTGATCAGACATGTGGTACTCCTGATCAGATTGTGGTGAATAGCTAAGCTTTGCAGTGGAAAGCCTTTTGATTTTCGTGCCAAATTTAGGCATGAAAGTAATGGCACACGGCCAAGGTCAAGGGCAGCTGGGGATGATGTATGCCATGGGCCAGAGACCTGAAAACGCAGAAAAGAAAAGGAACAGAACAACCAAGGTGAGCGGACTCCGCAAAGCAGAACCGATGCGCCTGCCCGGCTTTATAATCTTCACACTGTCCCCTCATCTAGAGTCAATATCTGATGGTGCTTTCAATGCTTCAATGTTTTTGACAAAGACATTACGCTTAAGGTCATGCGACTTCGAGCCTGACTTGCTCTCAGATGGATATTTTGACATCCTTGCAAGTCTTGCGATGCCATGCATCTGTGATGAGTTGCCCGCACTAGTTCTTCTTCATCGTTTCCGCTTTGCAAGGCGCTTGTTGCACTTCAAAGATCTGCGCGCAAGGTCCAAAATTCGGAGGACTCTTTGAAAGCCATTGAAAGCTCCTTCGAATGCTTGTTTGATGCATCAAATTGAAACCAGCCATTGGAAATGTTTTGACTCGTTTTGACAGGACCACAGAGACTCTTGGCCCACTAAGCTCGGCTTTGGCCCCAGCCGAGTTGAATCGAGTCAGGTTGAGATGCATCGTGTTGCGTAAAACTGCGTTGTTTCCAGACCTCAAGAAGCTTCCTCGACTACAGTCTCGTCGTGAGCCACGTGCTGCAACTAGTCTTGCTGGCTTTATTTGAATCGACGCTGACCATCGCGTACGCTAAGATCTGGTGTGGAAGCAAGTCCAATTTGAAGTAGACATACAAGAGGGCCCCTTCCTACCCACCCACACACACACATACACAATGGCGGAGTGTCAGACTACTGAGCTTGAACAGCATGAATATATATACATATATATATGATATATGGATGTAAATATATATATATACACATATATATATACACATACATAATTACATATAAATAGTATAGACATAGTAGACCAGCTCCAGATGCTCGCTTTGTCGGAAAACAGGTGGCCTCACCGGTTCTGCCTGGTCCGACTTTGCAGTTGAGGTGTGCAAAACATCGAGCTCAACAAGCTTCTGCACAGCATGTCACATGGGCAACAGCTTTTCTGCATGAGGTGATGGTGGGCAGTGAGAGTTTCCCTGTGATTGTTGACACTGGCTCTTCGCCAGTGCCCCAGTGGGAAGCTGCTGATAAATGATGTTTAGTGCTTAGAATCGAATGATCAGTCTCAGAGATTAATAGTATTTAATAGTGGTTGTATACCAGTAGTACCGCGCAAGGCGGTGGCGGAAGTTTCAAAAATAAGAAACCTATAGGAGAGGTTGGTTGTTGTGAATCAGGGATGGCAGAGCGAAGCCGCTGATGGACTGAAAGGTGCTTGATCTCTCTCACTCTTTCTCTCTCTTTCTCTGACTATCTACCTACCTACCATTACCTACCTATCTATTTTCTATGTATCTATTTATCTATCGATCTATCTCTCTCTCTCTCTTTCATCTAATTACCTATCCATCTATCTATCTACCTGTCTATCTATCTATCTATCTATCTCTCTCTCTCTCTCTTTCATCTGTCTATCTGTCTAGCTGTCTACCTGTCTATCTGTCTATCTATCTTTCTGTCTATATGTCTACCTGTCTATCAGTGGTGCAGCGTTATGCAGTGTAATGTAGTGTAGTGTAATGTAGTGCAGTGTAAAGTGTAGTGGAAGGTAGTGGAATGTAGTGTAGTGTAGTGTAATGTTGTCTAGTGTAGTGTAATTTAGTGTAGTGGAGTGTAGTTGTGTAGTCGTAGTTGTAGTTGTAGTGTAGGGGAGTGTAGTGTAGTGTAGTGCAATGTAGTGTAGTGTAGTGGAGTGTAGTGTAGTGTAATGTAGTGTAGTGTAGTGGAGTGTAGTGGAATGTAGTTGAGTGTAGTTGTGTAGTTGTAGTTGTAGTTGTAGTTGTAGTGTAGTGGAGTGTAGTGTAGTGTAGTGCAATGTAGTGTAGTGTAGTGGAGTGTAGTGTAGTGTAATGTAGTGTAGTGTAGTGGGGTGTAGTGGAATGTAGTGGAGTGTAGTTGTGTAGTTGTAGTTGTAGTTGTAGTGTAGTGGAGTGTAGTGTAGTGTAATCAGTTGTAAGTGTAGTGTAAGTGTAATGTAGTGTAATGGTAGTGTAGTGGAGTGTAGTGGAGTGTAGTGGAGTGTAGTGGAGTGTAGTGGAGTGTAGTGGAGTGTAGTTGTAGTTGTAGTGTTGTGGAGTGTAGTGTAGTGTAATGTACTGTAGTGTAGTGGAGTGTATAGTGTAGTGTAGTGAACCGAAGCGAAGCGAAGCGACATCTGAACCTCCAAAAGTGGTCCGACCCCTAGTGTTTTTAACATTTTGACTTCGAAATGTGCTTCGCGCCACAACGGCGTGCACTTTTTCGACATCTCAACTTCCAAAAGTGGTCCGGACCTGGTGTGTTTTGTACATTTTGACTTCGAAATGTGCTTCGCGCCACAACGGCGTGCACTTTTTCGACATCTCAACTTCCAAAAGTGGTCCGACACAGGTGTTTTGTACATTTTGACTTGGAAATGTGCAACGGCGTGCAATTTTTCATCTAACGGCGTGCCAGCCAGCTGGCTCCGCACCCGCCGCTTTAGCGAGCCTACTTTTCGACCCTCCGGAGCCACAAATCATTGGAAAAACACAGTGTTTCGCGACTTTCCTACCTTTTCGCGCATCTGCGTCTTCTTTCTTCTGACTCTTTCTCTTCTACTCTTCTCTCTTCTAATCTTTCTCTTCTCTCTGCCTCTGCCCTACTCTGCTTTTCATCTGTCCATATTCATATTGTCGGAAGTTTGACTTCTAAACTTCCTTCGACGATGAACGATACATATTGATACATATTGATACCTGTTTTTAATTGTTGTACATTGCTGCACTCTGCACATGTCTGGTCTGAGGACCTTCGCAATTCCAGCTCGCCCTGTGGCTGGATGTGAGTTCTACACTGGGGATTGCGAAGGAGCGCTACGAGCTTCTCAATCTGTGTGCACTCGCCGGACTCGTGTGCCCAGGCAGACCAATCGAAGCTCGCTATGGTAGTGCGAATTGGTATTGCGCTCAACGCCTGTGGACTCATAATGACATATAATGACTCATATCATCACGCGATCCTGAAGCGAACTGCGGGTTCCAAGGACAGGCCGCGTTTGTTATGGACCAGAGGCCTTGTGAGCCGGTCCAGGGATGTCCAGGGTTGAAAACACAGTGAAGAAACGATACAAGACCAAAGAGACTCGCAGAAACGCTGCGTACAGGTCGAAATGGCAGGCCTTCCAGTTCTAGCCTTATTGATCCTTATTGATCCTTGTTGGTTTTATTGCTGCTAGAGTCTGGTTCAGGTTCTATTTCCATCCCTGTGAGGCTGGACACATTAGCTTTGCTGGAATCTATGCTTGGGGCCCCAGAATGTGGCCTGAAGATACCACCTGAAGTCTGGAATCCTGTGACGTTGATTGGAGCGGTGAAGGTGCAGAACAATTTCCTCACGGAGTGTACCTCAATCCCGTCACACTGGCAAATTGCAGTTATATACTTTAAGTATCTTTAAGTATCTTTAAGTCACAGTCGACCAACAGCTTTTAAAGAAATGCTTGATTGAACCCAGTGGGCCAATATTGAGCAGGAGATACTGCATCAAAGCAGAGTGTGGCATGGATGATAGACATTGATAGACCGTCGTCGTGGCAGTCGTGGCAGGGGCGGGTTTGTTTCCCGCGGCATCATTGGAATGGCCTATCCAGCACTTTTGCCTCAAGGTGGGATGATGTGGGATGGGGACCAGCGCAGCACGATGAAAAGTTGGAGAAACGGCTCTCTTTACAAAACAAACCCAGCAAGTGCTGCGTTTCAGGATTTTCACGTTTCATCATGTGTCATTTGTATTCATTTGTGGGCATATCGGAATCATCCTTAAGGGAGTTGCTAAGTTGATTGCAACAGGTCGGCATATTATTCGCTGATGGCAGGCCTCTCGAAGTCCTTGTGGGATTCTGTGGTCGCATGGGTCCTGGACTGTGGAGGAATGTTCTGTAAGCACACAGTTTCAGTTTCCATGGTCACAAAAGAACTGAAAGGCCACAGCTCAAATCCGCAACGTCTTTGCCATGCAGCCTACAGCTTACCCTACAAAGCGAGATGTCCGTGTTTCCTCCAAGTTAGACAGAATCCCTGCTGCAGTTCACAAGGTGCTGTCCATGGAGTGGCTTGAACCGGGGCACTGGCAGCTTGACTCTGGGAGGGGTGCGCCAAGTTTGGATGTGAGACCTGAAACTTCTCAAACAACTCTGTAACTTTGGTGTGCGACCCATGCGACCTCAGTGAGTTGTTAATGGTTCAATATAGTCCGTCCATGTGTTTTCTTTAGTCATCTTTAGTCGTTTCATTCATTTTCATTCTGGCTTTATGTCATTTGTTTGAGCAGGGATTCAGTTGATGCTTTCCGCTCGTCTTCTGTTTGCAGTGGGACCAGCAGCTGTACCGCGAGGAAGACTTTGCGTGGATTGCTCAGACTGTATTTCGTTTTCATTGGGGGGCCCAGTTCGTGTTTCAACTGGAACAAGACACGGCGGATAAGTGATGCCGTTGATCCAGTCATATTTTATTGCGGTCACTGTTAAAGAAGCCGCTTCTGTTCTTAGGTACACTCCGATAACGATGGAGAAGCACGCCCGAACTTGGCAACCCTTGAAACAAATACTCTCTTGTCACGGAAGGACAAACATCAATAGAAATCGCACAAATTCACGCAACATGTTTTGGCGCTAAAGGACGCAACGTTTGGGTTTTGCAGGTGGTTCTGCGTCCGCGTTGAGAAAGTCTTCCTTGTTGGCTTCGAAGACATGGAAGATTCCGAAGATTCGGAAGATTTGGGTGCTGTGCCAAAGGCACGTCATTGACTTGCAACAGATGACGTCATGCACATCATGTATAAATGCTATAGGTGTTGCATCTGAAGTACTGTATTTGTTGTATAGTTGTATGCTTATACGTAGTAAATGAATTTGCGATGCATGACTTGCAAGGCTCTTGAAACTTCAAACCCATGACAGACAGATTGATGTTGTGCGATGTTGTGCGCATTTTGAATGTATGACGACCAGAAGCGCCTTTCTGCTCTTGATCGACAGATAGAGTCTGTAATGACATTTAATGTACTCCAATCTGAGAGCAGACCACTGGTGTGGGAATGTGAAGGTATTTGGATGCACCATGCAGCCTCGCGCATTTGAGTCTTTGCTGACTACAGAAGATATCTACAGAATGGTTGAATTGATTAGGGAAAAACAGCAGGCAGTTAATTGATGTTAATTGTCAGTAGTTGACACTGGTTGTGAGTTATCTTTGGCCCCTTGGTGGCACTTTGCCGCGGCATCATGGAGATCACGGAGCGACATGAGACGCAAATGGCTCCCTTCTCGGCGGGGGTTGACCTTCTTGCCTCTCACAGCTCTCACAACGCTTTTGTCGTTCCTTTTGATGCCAAGCTTAAGCAGCTTGCAATTCACACGACTCACGAGATCCTCAAAGAATCTTGGCCATGGGTGAAGAATGGTGAAGCGTCACTGCAGTGGAAGCCTTGTAAGATGCAAACACCTGGCCGTGGCTCTCACAATGTAGTTTCTTTAGCTGTGACACTGCAAAATCTCTATGCTTGGTGCATCGAAGTGCATAATCACGCCAAGCTATCGCCCTTGGTCTCTATCTATGATCATCTATGTCTGTAGCACCTCTAGACTTTTCATATTTTCTTCTCCTGCCTTTCATCCTTTGCCGCTTCCTTTGTATGTCAGCGTGGTTGAGACTGGAGTGATTTCACAATGCTTTGGAGCTCTTCTGTGGCAATTTTGCAAGCCAAGGAAGAGATTGATGCGAGATGTGCGGCGCTGGTTCACAGCTTCAATCTGTATCGAAAGGGGAAAACGAGTTGAGGCACTTTGGGAAGAGGATCTGAATTGGTACACTGCAACTGTGGAGAAGGACTGAAATTTGGCTTGTAGAAGAGACATGAAGAGACGTAGATTGACAAAGTCATCAGATACCTTGCAGAGCTGGGAGATGCTCGGAGGACTTCCAGAACGGCACTGTCCAAATCCGTTGGGATGATCCTGATGGATGGCCTGTGTCGTCAATTTGCGACTTGGAAGATCTGAGAGTGCTTCGCCTGTCGTACAAGCCAGGCGCGGCCAGTCAGCTGATACCAGCTGTCTTCCGGAATCTTTCTGGAATGTTCCTGGAAATGCTGAGTTCCCACAATTCTTCCATGTCCTTTGCCATCTTTGCGCCTTGTCTTGCTTCAGGAGACCTGGTGGTAGCACTCTTCGAAGAAGATTACGAGTGGTACAACGCGACTGTTGTGCAGGACCCTGTTTATCCTGTTTTGATCCTGTCTTGATCCTGTTCTGCTGTTCGCCGAACTGTTTCGAGTTTGGATGTTTGTGGCCAGGACAAAGGTGGAAGTTTTGTCGTGCTCTGGGACGACCCTGATGGAGGACCTGAACTTGCGGTGTGCCTCCCAGAACATCTTCGGACCCCAGGCTGCAGCTCGAAGCTTGCAGAAGTGCAGAGGAATCCGTCATGAGGTCTACTGTGTACGCACCGAGATGACAAGGCATGCTCAAGCATGAACAATGAATGATCATGAATGATCAATAGATAGACAGAAGGAGAATATATGAATGGTAAAAAGGACTTAAGCAAACGAATTACAACTTTCTCTATCGACTCATGCGTTGAAAGTTTAAAGCATTTTAAGACACAGGTTGTCAGATGGTTCAAATCTTGGTCTCAGCGTCAGCGGAGACGGTTTACATATGTTTACAGCATCTGAGGATGGTGGAGGTTGTAGATGACTACAAGCCTGGAGATTTGGTGGAAGCGATGTGCGATGAGGATCAGACTTGGTACACTGCGGTGGTGCAGGACCGCTCTTTGGGTGCCAAAAGGTTTGAGTAATGCAGAAACTGGATGAAAGTGGTGCAATCACGAGACCCGAATTACTTGTGAAGGAGAGATTTGACTGCGGATACGTCGTTCTTTGGGATGATCCAGGCTACGTCGGCATTTAGGATATTTTTTATTTTTATTTTTTGGCAGGCTTCCACCACATTATATACCTGATTCTGAAGTGCGTATCCAATATATCAGAAGATATCTTAAATCAGCAGATTCTGAAGTATGTATCCAATATATCTGAAGCTGTCCTCCATCTTTATCGCTCGCTGTCCCCGCTGTCCCCGCTGCCAAAAGCTCTCCATCTTCATCGCTCTAATCATCTTGACCCTTGGTCGCGGCCTCAAGACCTTTGGGTGCTGGATTTGGCTTCCAGTGTGCATTCAAGGGTAACGGTTAGACATTTAAAGGTGAGTTACGTAACATTGATTAGTTAATTATTCATTAGTTATAAATAAGATACTGGTTGGTTTGCTATGCTTTCTGTTCATTTTATTGCCCCGAAGCTGTCCTTGCTGAGGCCATTTCTCTTGCCCCTCCATTTGCTGCCTTGCAGTCGAGAAGGCTTGCATGGGCTGGTGGGTGTCTTACCTCGAGCGATTGGTCCCCAGTTCGAAGTTTTAAATATTGATCATATTGTCGTCGTTGTTGATTTGCTTTGAGTTGCATAGTAATGGATTTTATGAGAAATGTGGTTGCCGAGCTGCAGGTTTTTAAAAGAGTTGGTCATTGTCATGATTGGGGAGCTTCATTCATGTCATGCGGCATTCATCAACATGCAAGGCCGTTCCCGCAGCTGTTCAAGCTGCTCCAGCTGTCCAAGCGCTGTCGCATGGCCAACGTTGCTGCTGCAATTGCTGAGGCAGTGGAAGCGATGGAGGCAGCAGATGCAGCGGTGATTCAAGGCGACGCGCCTTTGATTGAGGATGGCAAGGACGAAGAGCCTGCAGAGCCTGCTCGGGATGACGGAGGTGCTGGAGATGATCAAGCCATTCAAGCTGCCCCAGCCGATCCAACCGTCCCAGCCGTCCAAGCTCAAGGCGCGCTGGTGCCTGCTGGCGAGAATGTCGTGGCCCGATCTATGCGGCAGGAGATCGCGGAAGGGGTCATGGCTGCAGTGGGCAGTACGCCTTTCCACCTGCGCATGGAAGGTATGTTGCTCGAGCAGAAAGAGGTGCAGCGGCACGCAATTGCGTTGCCGCAGGCCCCGAGCATCTTCCGTGAGAAGTACGATACCCAGAGTGACTTCACCTGGTCTCTCTTCGGCTTCAACACTTTGCTGAACAGCTTCTACGAGAATGGGGTCAAGAACGCTGAGAACGTCGAAGCCATTTGCGCAGGTACTGGGGTGTCTAAAAGCATGTTTTTCTTGCCAAAATAAAACTGTTGGACAGGGTGAAGTTTGCAATTTGCGATTTTATTTTCCAAAGCGTTCTACCCGCTTTGCTTCAGGCTTTACGCTGCCAGCCACCGAGCGGCACATCGTGGAAACTGCCCGGGATTTGCTCGCACAGATCCCAACCGGGGGAGGCGTCCCCCAGAGGTTCATGGTCGTGACTTTGATCAACATTCATTCCGAATGGTTTTGATTTTATTGATGATGTGTCATGCTGGCTTGAGTCATGCCTTATCGTGTTTGGATAGAGCTTAGAGGGCTTAAACGTGAAACTGCCATTGTTTCTTTTCCAAGCTTCCTTTGGCTGAGTTGTCGACCATCGTCCGGGAGCACCTGGAGCAGTTCGCCGAAGTGCAGGAGCATGACGGCGACATTATCTGCAATGTGCTGCTTTTCCCATATGTGGTGAATGGGGCAGCCCGAGGCTATAAATTGTCAGTGCCAACCAAGGACTGGGAGAGTCTAAAGACATGGAAGTGCGAGCTGTCCTATAGCTGTCCTAGCTGTTATGGAAGTTCTTGGTCACGTAACGTAGTCATATGTTTTAACTAAATTATAGTTTGTTCGAACGTTGTCTAGTTTTCCAAATCCTGCAGGACATGTCATGGTCCGGGTGGGCGCTTCCATGGGGCAGTGACGGCTTGCTCATGCCGGTTGGCCTCTACGCCACCGACGTCCTCGAGATGGCGCGCCAATTTGTGCAGTTGGCTGGCTTGGGGCGACGAAGCAATGGTCCCAGAAGCTTGGATGCCTTTCTTTCAGACGAGAACCAGGTGGTCATGGCTGTCGAGGACAGGAACAAGGCTTGCATCCAAGCATCCTTCTTCAGCAATGCGTTCCACGGCAAGCTGGAAGAGCATGCCTCAGCAGGCGTGCGGTATGCATTGGATCTTGCCAGGTACAAAAACCAGATCCAATACAAGCTGGTGGAGAAGTTGGATGTGGGCTTCGGACAATTTTTCGATTTTGGAGAAGAAGCTGGCTATGGACCCACTTCCTATTTCGTCTCGGCTGAGGGGTTCTTTTACGTCCTCTGCTATCGAGCTGCTGACGTGGCCCAGCGGAAGTTCGAAGGCACCCCGCGATGGATTCTGCAGGCTGGATGAAATTTGAGTTAGCAGTAGCACAAATTAGGTTCACAGAAATTGCACACACATACACACACGTTATACATTATATGTAATATAGTGTATGTACGAAAAGAGAGTGTGCATGATTTTTTTTGAAAGTAATTATAATATATATATATATATTATATATAATATATATAATATATATAATATATATATATGTTTATTTTTAATTTATCATTATTATTATTGTTATTACTATTTTTGTTCAAACTTATGCCATGTGTGTGTGACCCCCTAACTTAGTTCTTGGCAATGTGTTTCCGGGTTTCAAACATCGCTACTTGCCTGCAAGGGCGAGTGCTTCAAGGGCGACTTCGACGACGACAAGTGGACCTACCGAGCTGGATCACGAGCAGCCTGCACCATCCAGTGGGTTGGGGAGGGCCCTGATGACTTCAACCTTCTGTGGGATGGCATGCAAGTTGTAGCTTGGATTTGACTTCAGAAAAACTTTCATATGCCCATGATGTGCGTTTCATGAGCGCATGCTTTCCCTGTGACTTTGAAGGCCCTTGTGTGGTTTTTGGTTTTGAAAAATAACGAAAACTTGTTTCAGGAAAGGGCGCTTGTGGCCACAAAGACGACAACGTCCATGGTGCTTGCACTTCGGTTGTCCCGCTGGGAAGATTCAAAAGGACGGCCCTGGAGTGTCACATTGGCCAGATGCTCTTCGGTCCCTGATGGTGTGAAGATGGCGATGGCACAGTCGAACGTCCATGCGGACAAATACTGTCGCCAGACCTACAGGAACACCAATGACATGGAGCTTGCCCAATACGCCCATCGCACACGCCAAGTTTTCACTTCCCGCCCACAGTCGCGCTACGGGCAGGAGTCGCAGCAGGAGCCTCAGCAGCAGCAGCCACCGCCGAGCGCTGCAACAGGCTTTCCACCAGGAATGACACCCATGGATGATGGGTGGGGCGGAACCATGTTTGTGCCGACGGCTCCAGTTCGCCCTGCCATGCCTGCTTTTCAGCCGTTCTGGAGTCAGCAGACTTGGCAGCAGCAGCCGTCCCAGCCGTCACAGCCGTCCCAGCCGTCCCATAGCAGGGACAAGGCCAGCATGGACAGGGCCGGCGCAACCAGGGGCAGAATCAGGGGCAGAATCAGGGCTGGTGGAACTGAGAAGCGATTTTTTTCAAAGTGCAGTGCGGCAACAGCCGCTTTAATTCATTGGATTAGTGCCGGCACGTCGCTGGTGCTATTGGCCGCAGCTGTCCAGCCTTTAGCCGTCCAAGCTATTTTTGCTTGGCTTCTTCCAACTGAGCATGGTTCAAAGCCTTTCACCGATGTTTAATCCCGACTAATATGGCAACTAATCTAGTAGCAGTCGAATCACCACAATGTTGGCTAGTAACATCACTAACAGGGGTTTGGAACAATGCTCAACTGTGCACACTATCACGTCGATGGTGGCATTGCAGTGGCAGAAAACTTTTTTTTCAAGCGCGGTGATTTTCTCGCTTTGGCTTCAATCTTTTTTTGCAATTTAGTCCGTTCATCCATTTCATCGCATTCGATTAGCCCTTGGCCAGGCCGGGCCCTTGCCTACGTTCTTTTTCTGGAGAAGCAGGTGCCTGGGAAGTTCCTGATGCCAAGTTCACAGACAAACACGTTCAATGAACATTCCCGTCTTTTTCAGGAAAGTTTGATAATGAGATTGAACATTCAAAACACTGGACTATAAATAAAATTACGATGTTCATAGTGGCCAGCTACCAAGGGTTGACTGATGGCAGGTACTCTGGGCCTACTTTGCTGCTGTTGCTGCCTGTGGGTGGCTTCAAAAACGCTCGCCAGGCATGGTTCGAGCCTTGCAGTTTTTGGTTCATGGTTGGTGCCCTCATTTGCAAGTTCATGATCAGATTTCTTTCATTCTTTTACACCCAAAACAATTTATAATGAGATGAATTCTTACTAAGAATAGCTTTCCCCATGCGAATGTTTTTCCTCTTACTTGGGCTCCCACCTTTTTTCTTCCTGATGATCGGCGCAGGCTGTGGAATCTTGCATCGCCACCAAGGAGAGTGGAGGCCAGACCAGCTTAGCCAAAATTGCTTCTACGCGGGCTTTTGCGAAGTCGCTTCGACATCAGGTTTCTATTCCATACGCAGCGCAGCAATCAATCCAGATCAGTTTAGTGGGTTTAGCTTGAACTTAAAAACTTCAAACACATTAGCAGACTTTGCAGGCCTGGGTTGGTGTCCAGTGTGGTTGCACGACCGGACGCTGTTTGCAGAGGTGCCTCTTGCCGCTAATGAAGTTGAAATGAGGGTTGTCTTTTGCAAGCACTGTTTTGTTTGATGCTGCTGCAAGAGTTTTTTGACTTGGTTCCTGTCCTGTGCCCACAGGATTCAGCTGTGCCAGCCGTTCCAGCAACCAGCTCTTGGAGAGGCCTGGCCACAAGTAGCATGAAATTACCATTGTGTTTTGACATTGCGATGAGATAAAGTCTTGGCAGGCTTTGGTTTAACGATTTCTTTTGGTTCCAGTTTATTTTAAATTTAACTTTCTGGTTTGATCCAGGTCAAATACTCCTGAATTGGGGCTTCAAAATTTCAAACTTGGCAGCTGAAGCCTTCACAATTTTGTGGTGCTTGCTGTTTGCCTGGAGGTTTCTGCTGCCCAAGCCGTTTCAGCTGTTCCAGCCATTCCAGCAACAAGAGGCACGGACGTCATGACCACAGAGGATGTTTGAGTGATTGATTCTTAATTCGCATGGTATCGAAAATTGAGCAAGCAGTCCATGCATGCGGGCGCATCTTGATGACACCAGTGTTGCACCTTCAACAATAATATTCAGCTGTATCACTGAATCAAAAATTGGCTTCTCAAAAAAATCGCGCTCTTCTTGTTTAAGCTGGCTACCTGCCCCCCAACAGGCTTCACACCGTTTGACATCTTTGCTCCTTAAGGTGCCTTTTCAGGGGAATTGCTCAGGTTGTGGGCCGTGTGGTGAGGACTGCTTGAAAAAGGTTCAGACATGAATTAGTTAATTAATAATCATGACGTTTATTTGTTGCCAAACCATTTTGTCAGTCATTTGCACAATGCAAGCGCATCTTCCATGATTATTGCAGCTCAAGCAATCCAAGCTGCAGTCTTTGTGGAGGGTGGATCGAGAAATTCAAATGAATCTAGACTCTCAGACATGGCCAAGCACAATTTAAAACATAATTTGTTATACATACTTAGTATATAATAATATATAATAATAATGATAATAATGATAATAATAATAATACATTAAATGATATGATATATCATAACTAATATGTGTATGTATATATATATAATGCCCCACCGTATTTTTCATGGTTACTTGCGCAATTATAATATGTTTGTGCTGTTGCCCTCGCCATGTCTTCTCTGGGTTTGCGATGGGGCCTTGGAAGGAAAGCCCCCAAAGCCAAGCCCAAGAATGCGCCCAAGACATCTTGTCAGCCTGCGGCGCGTGCGTTGCCGATGAAGGGTTTGGGCAGCCGATGTGGCCTCAGACCTGCAAAGTCCAGCAGAAGTCAGCCGTCTCAGCCGTCCCAGCCATCCCAGTCTGGCAGTTCCAAAAGAGCACAGGCCGATGATCCCGCGAAGCTTGTTGGCCCTGTGGGTGAGTCAGAAGCTCATCATTGTGCACGACATGTCAAAACTATTGCTGGGAAACAATGTGCGCGCTGCAAGTCTCTAGGCAAATTTTATTAATTCGTTTCCGGAATAGACATTCGTATCAATGCAGGAAAAGCGAGGGATAGCCTTTCGATGCCCCTTAGCAATACGCTCCAAGATACCAAAAACTGCTAGCGTATTAGCAAGTGCTTTGTCCATTGATTTCTACTTTTACTGAGAGTGTGTAATTGTTGATGGATCTCCATACTTTGTTATGCCCCCAAGCTCGCAAGATCCAAGGGCGTAATGGCATGTGCCAAGCCTGCTTCATTACACTATGTAGCTCATTCCATGGCTCGCAAGAGCTGTCTTGGGAGAAGGTTTAGATGTGCATTCAAGGGTTGTTTTCACACATTCAAAGGTCAATGTAGCATGAGTATGCATTCAAAGGTGTTCAAGTGCATTCAAGGGTCTACCAATGCATCCAAGGGTCATCTTTGTGCATCCAAAGGTAAACTCACCCTGATTCACGTTGGCTCCCTTGCCAGGTGCTTCTCCATGGCTCCTGTGCCAGAGTCTGCAAGCAAGGCAGTGAAGCTTTGGATGCAGAGTCTGGAAGCTGGCTATGAAACACAGCAGATGAACAGAGTGGATAGGATAGCACACAAAGCCACTGGACAGAACCACGTGCAGTTACTTCAACCAACATGGGCAAAGAAGTTTTTAGACACACGGGTCAGTGATGATAAGCGCGTTCATAGACTTGCATCACGTTGCTTTTCTACCAAGTAGATGTGTGGAAGTGACACTTTGGATGTCATAATGAGGCTGCAAAGCTTTTCTGGAACGAGCAAGAGAAGGATTTGATTCCCATGGTCCAGTTCCTCCTGCGAGATTTGCCTCAGCAGCGTTTGCCTAGCGCGGCTATGAGCAAAATTGGAAGCAGTCATGCGGGAAGATTCCATGCAATATTATCTTTCTGATTACAGTTCTTTTTACTAAGGCAGGTTGCTAGAGAATACAAAGTGAATAGATGGAGAGAGACAGAGAGATGGACAGACATATCAACAAATACAAAGGGGAATAGCAGACGGATAAGCATTTCCAATATGTGTATCCCATAATATCCCATAATTGCCTGGATTATGATACAATACAAGAATAGTTCAATGATCCGCCTAGGCTCTGGTGACGGCATACTTGCTGTATCGGGCCAAGTGTGTGGTTCCACCCTTGGCATCAGAGCCTTTGCATGTGACAAGTTGGGGTGATGGAAAAGTTTTTCCTTTGAAGCACATTCAATGTGACGTCAGCAAGATATAGCTGCCTGCAACAGCTGTCCCTGCTGTCCCAGCACTGCCAAACTGACAGGATCCTGGCAACATTGTGCTTCGTATCCTGAATGCTCCAAACCCATTCTTGACAATGAATGGCGCAGCGCTCACTTTCAAGCAGACGTGTCAAGGATGTTTTTTGCACCCGGTGTCAAAGGCAGTGGGATTCTTGTCAGGTTTAGACTTTAGGGGGCCGGCAGAAGCGCTCACAATAGAAGATGGTATGAGCGCATCAGATTGCGTTTTATTCGACTTTCCTCTGTTGATTCCATTTCCAATCTGGGCCAAAATTTAGCCAGTATGGTGAATAACAAAAAATAGTTGGCTCAAGACGTGGCAGCGCTGCTAATATATTATCATGGACCCATGATCCAGAACGTCTTCTTCATGCTTGGCCAAGCAAATTCTTCCATGCTCCCTTCCTTTAAAGAAAAATCAATCTCTTCAACTTCAGGGCCATTGTTTTTATTTCTATCTTTCTTTCTTTCGTTTTTTCTTTCTTTGGTTCTTTCTTTCTTTCGTTCTTTCTTTCTTTCTATCTTTCTTTCTTTCTTCACACTCTCTCTCTCTCTCTTTCTGTATCTTGCGCTTTCTTTGCGTCTCTCTCTCTCTATCTATCAGTTCTTCTTCCTTCATGTTTTTCATGTCTTCCTTTTTTTGACTACATCCTTTTTTGGGGGATCTCTCATCTCTGCCCCTCTCTCTCTCTCCCTGTCTCCGCGTTCTCCGTGCCCCTTCCTCCTGTCAACCCATCCATCACTGCAGCAGTGCCCCTTTATACTTGGGTCTGCTTGTGTCTCCGTTTTTTTTCTCTATCCGTTTCATCACCCTTGAATGCGCGCATTCAACCCTTAAGCGCAGAAGATCCATGAAGCTGCGCATCCAAAGGTCTTGAGGCTGCGCTGAAGGCTGTGCCAGCTAAGGCCATGCAGGGAATTCCTCCATGGACAGCGTTGCTAAGAAAAGGAAAGCACAGGTTGGAAAGCTCTTTGACCCTTTTATTTAGCAATAATTTAGAAGTACATTTGTGAGAGTGTTTGCGGCATGACGCAAGGAGAGGACAGACTCACTTCTCAGCTAGCATCTTTGCAACAGACTGCTTCGTTCAAGCGCTTGGATGCTTGTGAGCAACTGGGCATCTTCATCACTATCTCTGGTCGTCAAGGAGGCATGGCAGCTGAAATGTTCCAGTCATTGATTTAATTAACATTAAAAAGGAATGCAGTAGGCAAGCGAAACTGCTCCCTTGTGACTAGCTATATGCTTTTGCCTATCACCTTGCCTGCCGTGAAGATTTGTGCCTACTTTTAATGCCTATTAATAATTTATATATTGCCTGGTGTGCCAACATGGCCACATGCAGGCCTTTGACTTTGTGGCGCCATTGCTACAGAAGCTGCCTGAGCAAGAAGCCCAGAAGTGTGCCACAGTCGTTGCCAACATCTGCAAGCCAGAGCAGTGCTGGTTGGATTTCTTCGTTCCAGAAGCTTCTGAAGCCGGGATTCTCCAGGAGGAAGGCGAAGAGCAGGAAGAAGCACCAGCTGCCATACTTGGGGCCAATAAGTTGAACTCGTTGAAGGCTGAGTTTAACAAGGCAACTGGCACATTGCTTGAGCTGTTGGTTGACTTGATGCGAGGTGAATATCTGGCAGACTGCCGCACGCTAGCCAAAGAAAATGTGAAACTGGCACAGGCAGTATCTGAAGTAGCCGTCCAAGCTGTTCCAGCCGACGACCAGCAAGATTCATCAAGTTGTTCCTCCTTAGGCTTTGTGAAGAACCTTTATTTGGTGGTCCAAGCTTACGACACCAACACAAAGAGTGTCTCACTGGCAGCGCCATTGCCAACGCCTAGCTTGATTCAGAGTCTCAACCCCAGCATTTCTTCAGAACAAGATGCTGCAGACAGAGCGCGGGCTTGGAAGCAAGTCCAATCAGAGCGCCGCAAGTTTGTCACTTTCTCTGTGGTTCCAAAGTATACGAAAGAAGCGCTCAACAGTGCTTTCCGGAACAGTGGAAAGGTTTGGGCACACAAGGGCGATCTCAACACTTCCCATCGCCTTATAGTTGGCTCAGCAGATTTGGTCACAGAAACATCTCAGGAGCCTTGGCTCACCCCATCAGCTCCAGCGGCAGATGCTTGGAAGGCAGTGGCCGGGTTTTGCGTGGGCCTCGCTGGCAATACAGATTTCACCTTCCTTTTCGACGGGCGCATGAGAGAGATTCGGCGGATCCATGCTCCTTGTTTGGATGAAAAGAAGCTTCCGCTGTTTGAACCTGCCTATTGATTTATCAACTAACTTGGAGCGTCTAGTTCACTGTCAATAATAATCCTTGTCTCATGCTTGGCACTGAGGAAGATGTGGTGCTGACGCAGACCCAGACAGAAGAGCTGTTCGTCATCTACAGTGGCGGGTGTTTGCCGCGTGCGGGGCGTGTGAGACGAGTGCCCTTGGCAGCCCGAAAGGTGGAAACGTGTGCCTTGCGGTTTCCCGCTCAACGCACAAAGATCCGAACAACGAAGAAAGAGAACTTTACCTCTTGTGGAGAAGCCACCACCTATCAAGGGACCTTTTCTGGCGTGACCTTCCGCCCTGTGAGTGAGCTGCCACTCATCAATGCGGATGACAAAAAGAAGATCTTAGTACCAGCCAACCAAGCTGTCCAAGTGCCAGAGACATGGAAGGAATCACATGCTGAAGACGTGCCATTGTTTTGGCAAGAGTGTAAGCCGATTGAATTATATCTGGCGTTGCTGGATGAATTCAAGGGTCAGGCAGTCTTGGACCTCACAGCAGGCTCAGGGGCCCTCATGGAAGCTTGCCTGACCCGCGGAGTGCAATATCACGGGATTTGCCTCAATCGCGACCACATGACTTGGCTCCAAGCAGTGGCGGACCGCGCTGCATGCGGCCTGATCTCCATTGAGGGCTCCACTTTGTTCGGTGAAGAGCTGGCCAAGCTGGTGAAGCATCATTTTGCTGACCTACTTCAGCGTCTGGTCCCAACAGATGACGGTGCAGAAGAGCTACTCGAGCCTGCCAGTGATGACGACGCAGCTTGAAGACCAGCCGTCCTAGCTGTCTTAGCCGTCACAGTTTTGTTACAATAAGATAGATAAGAAGCAAAGACTTTGTGGTGCCGGGCAAAACACTGCATGCTTGGATATTGCTGGGGGGTTCATGCTTGGATGATTCAATTTTACCTTTGAATGCAGATTCTTGCCATTTCCTTGCGTTGAAGGGTGAAAAGTGAGCATCCAAAGGTCTAATGCAATTTTATTCCCTACATTGACTACCATTTTTGATTGTGCTGAAAATTAAAGGCCCAAGACCTCAGCTGTCCTAGCCGTTCTAAGCAAAGACTCGCAGAGCCCAATGGCTGCGGCTGCAGTGGTGCCACGCTTCCGGCTGACCTTCAAGCAGCCTCTTCAAAGCGGGAAGTTGGCCAAATCAAAAGAAGCAAAGCGTTCCAGACCGTGCTGCAAAAGGAAGGCAACGTCACGAAGAGTTGCTGTTTCTGAGGGGACAGTGCCCAAAGCTCGCAATGCTTTTGCACTTTTTATGAAACAGCACAACACTGCGAAGAAAGGCGCCAGCAAACAAGAATTCCAACATGAAATGCAACGCATTGCCAAAGCTTGGGCAAAATTGACACAGTCTGAGAAGAACACCTACAAGGAAAAAAGCAGATCGGAGTTCACTGCACAAAGAGACGCCATGAAAAGGCATGGCTTGCCCACGCGCCGCATGCAGAATGAAACCGTGCCAAAGCAGCAGTCACAGCTGTCTCAGCTGTCTCAGCTATCCACACAACCTGTGGAAGACCAGGACCAGGCGCTCCTCAGATTTGGGAAGATCACGGTGATGCAAGGTGAGCTTCCTGTTGGTGAAGGCTCTTACGGGACTGTGCTGAAAGGCCTCATGCCCTATGGCCGCTTCTGCGCTCTGAAGATCTTCAAGGGCAGCAAAGCTATGATCTCCTTGAAGCAAGAGGTTCTGATTTTCAATCAAATCAAAGACAAGCTTCAAGAAGGAATGCGGCAACTCTTTCCTTCCTTGTTGGAAGTCGAATGCAAACCGCAGCCGTTCCCCTACTTGGCTTTGGAGTTTGCTGGGTCAAGCGTGTCCCAAGTGCTCATCCAAAATGGTGCTTTCACTGGAAGTGCAATGCAGCGCCTAGCCATGCAGCTTAGAGCTGCCCTGCAAGCTTTGCACAGCATCCGCATACTTCATTTGGATCTCAAACCGGCCAACATTCTGTGGGTCCAGGAGACTTCATGCATGAAACTAGCGGATTTTGGAATGTCTGAGATGATGGGGATTGAAGCTGCCTCGATAAGGTTCGATGGATATGTTAGTGCTCCCTATAGACCACCTGAGCTGTGGAACACATCTTCCGGAGACATTTGCAAGCATCTGCGCCCATGCGTCGACATTTGGTCATTTGGCTGCGTGCTTTTTGAGTGTGCTACAGCATCCCCTCTTATGGCACCTCTTCCTCCAGCTCGCAGCTGCAATCATAGTGTGAATGCATGGTGCCGCTCATGGGACGGCTTGCGCCAAGCACGGATGATGACAGAGCCAGCTGCTCGAAGATTGCAGGCTCGTATGTTGAGGTCTGGACCATGGAGAGAACATATTTTAGAATGTTTAAATCCTGACCCTGCTTCTCGAAGATGGAGTGGGCCAACACATTGAATGGAGCCAGCCGCTGCTATGCCTAGTGTAGTGTTCATGAGCAGGGTTGCTTCCCAACTTGTTTCGAAGCGGGGTGTTCGGATTGGGAAGCCTGGGGTTTACTCATGATGGTTGAACTAGCTTAGCCGTACCAGCCATGCCAGCTGTGCTAGCGACAGTGCCCGGACAACTTAACGTTCAAAAATACGCAGCTGCTGCAATGCTCATTCATTATCGAAGTCACGCATTGTGATTAATCCGCCCATGTTTGATTTTCATATGAGCGCATCAGCCTTCTGCTTGCCAAGGTGGGTCTTCAAAGGTAGCAGCTGCAGCGGCGGCGACAAACTTATGCGTGGAAGGGCAAGAACCGAAAAGAGCGTCTTCTACACGTTGCTGTGGACGACGGTGGCTAAAAGGTTAAATATTGGTAAATTTACTCAATTCCCTTAATATTTTTCGGGACCGTTGAATTGCCAACCTAGATATGTACATTATTTTTTCACTTTTAGGCAACCAATCGGTTGATTAAATTGGTATCATCCCAGTATCGATTACGATCATTTTTTCTATCATATTCTTTGGATAAACAGGGGTCCACTACCATTTCCCTTAAAGGGTACCCGACCAATTGCTGGATTAAAATGGAATGAGTATTATCCCTTTATAGGGTGTGTACTATATCTATTTGTTTCAACCACATTCATATTTCTTCTAGGGTGGTGTCCCCATACGCCTTTGGTATAAAGCCATCAATATTATCCCTGATGATCACCCTTTTATTAAAAAACTATATTTCCCCGTTATTTCTACGTCTACATCATATATCCTTTAAATGCAATGTCCAATTATGGATTTTGCCGAACTCAGCGAGCAGAAATCTGCACCTTGACTTAGGCATTTTGTTTTTTTACGATACCTAGGTGCTTGATGGGGTATTGCCTAAGTCAAGGTGCAGATTTCTGCACCTAGACTTCGACAATACAGAGGTTGCACCCTGGGATTTAGGAAAAAACAAATTGCCGATATCAGGGTGCACAAATTTGCATGTGGCCTTAGGAAACAGCCTTACTTCGGTGCCGCCGGGAACTTGTGTAACTTATAAGTTAGTTACGGTAGTTATAGTGTAAGTTATCTTGATGTTTTTTTTATAGAGCTTATAAATTCATTTTAAGTTCATTAAGTTCTAAGTAGGGTTATTTGTCAATTTATGTGATGATTTGTTTTTTGGCGTTTGAAAATGTTTTTTTGACGGCATGTGTTTAAATGTGTTTTGCTTATGTTTTTCCATGCGGTTTCATACACATTGTTTTTTTTTCTAGTTCCACATTTGCGGGTGGTCATTGCAAGGGCCACAACTGATTGTTGTCGTGGCGTACGTACATGAATTTAGCGCAAAGAAGAAGAAAACATGCTAAAAACCAAGAAGGAAATTTAGTCCGCACTCATCCGCACTCAGCAGAGTTTTCTGAGGTTTTCACTCGCACGCATCCACACTCACACAACAAGGCCAGAAGCTTCCAAATCAACTCCGCACCCACGCCGCACTCACATCTTGTCAAGCAGTACTGAATGTCGCACTCATCCGCACGCATGTCTAAACTAATGCGTTTTCTCCGCGCTCATCCGCGCTGATCCGCACGCATTGTGCACCTCTGCATCCGCGCAGGATGTTAAGCGACTTCCGCCTCACTCGGAAGTGAGCGGATACTTATCAAAAATCTCTGTGGCGCTTGGATATGCCTCTCCATGAGCCTACCATCAGCCAAATCGATGATTTCGATACATGAGCCAAAACCACAAAAAAGTGCTTGTTTTTTTGCAAAAACAATCTTTGTAAAATATATATATATCAAAAAGCGTGAAAAGGCTAAGTTCCATAACTTCCCAATAACTTCTAGACATGCTACGCTTATAAAAAACGTTAACTAGCTTATAAGCACAGAACTTTTCACTAACTAACGATTTTTTAAGGAACTTATATAGTAAGTTATCAGGTTATATCATAACTTACCCCAAGATAAGTTGTAAGTTACAATATAAGTTCACAAGTTTCCCGCAGCAGCAAATTACCTATTATATTCTACCATGTTTTTTCCGCAATGGATTCGGGGTCCTTCATTTTGAGATTTAGGAAAAATATTTTTGTTGCCGATCTTTTGGCTCGGAGGACCCCAAATCCATCGCCGCCGCAAGTCCGTCGCATAACAATATTTTTTTATTCCATCTAAGTAATCAACCGAAGAGCATATCTGAACTACGATCGAATTGGTGATCGTTTGTTCTGACTGGTGCTTCCACGAGTACAGTAGAAGGGTAAATGGATGGAGAGGCAAATTGTCAATCCCCTTCTTGGCATGACAATCGAATGGCGGATAAGAATTAATAACATTGAAGCATCCAAGGGACACTAACCCAATACGATTTTTCCTTAGGGATAAATTTCACTAGTATAGACCAAGGCCACCTACCTTGATAGATAAGATAGACAAAGAAATAAATGTTGAAAAACATATATCACACAATCAGGGGTAGAGCTAAATTAAAGGATGCACCTTGTCAAAAGTGAGCAAAACGTGAAGGTTTTGTGGCATTTCCAAAAACGATGGCAGGCGTGGGACATTTGAAGAGGATCTGCAAAGATGCATTTTCTGTGGCAGGAGCAGTACAAGAGACATGTTCATCAGAGCTGTTAGGAGGTCCGGGTGCTGATTTCCTGAGAGGGGTTGCATTTTGGAGCATCAGATCTTCAGGTTTGCTGAGACGATTTTGCGTCACAGGTGCAGCACTTCGTGTGACCTGGCATCACTTTTTCATGGCAGGCGCGGTACTTTAGACAGGTGCATTGAAAAAACTGCAAAACGCAATTGGCACGAGGCCGTCAGCTCTGCACTCAACTTTCCATTTTTGAAGGAAGTCTCGCAGAATTGCTTCGTTTTTGACGTTGTCAACTTCGAAAAATGAGGAATTCTCGCAGAATTGTTTCGCTTTTGATGTTGTCAAGTTCAAAAATTGAGGAAGTCTCGCAGAATTGCTGCGTTTTTGATGTTGTCACGTTCAAAAACTGAAGAAGTCTCGCAGAATAGCTCAAGCTTGCAGATAGACAGATAGATAGATAGACAACTACAACTGCAACTACAACTACAACTACAAGTACCACTACACTACACTACACTACTCTACATTACACTACACTACACTACACTACTACAAGTACAAATATACTACGCTACATTACACAACACTAATTACACTACACGACGCTACACCTCACTAATTACACCTAATTACACTACACTAATTACACCTAATTACACTACACTACTCTAATTAAATTACAACAACAACAACAATTTCTACTACTACTACTACTACTACAACGACTACAACTACAACAAAAACACCAACAACAACAACAACAACTACTACTACTACTACCACTACTACTACTACCACTACTACTACCACTGCTACTACTACTACTACTATTACTACTATATACTACTACTACTACCACCACCGCCATTAAAGTGCAGTACATTACAGCTAACAAACAGAAATACAACTACAACTACACTACATTACACAACACTACACTATAATAATTACATTACATTACGCTACAACTGCAACTACCACTACATTGCACTACACTACACTACAACTACAACTACACTACTTTGCACTACAAAACACTAGACTACACTACACTATATCACGCTACAGTACGCAACACTACAGTACACTACAATACACTACACTAATTACACCACACCACAACTACAACTGCAACTGCAACTACACTACACTAACTACACTACATTACAACTACAACTTACAACTACAACTCCACCACGCTACAACTACACCTACAACTACAACTACAACTGCACTACACCACACTACATCCAGCAGTTGTGGTGAGGCGGCCACCGCAACCATTGCAACCACTCCAGGAAACACAACTCCAACCACCTTTCGGTCCATCAGTGGATTCGCTCTGCCATCCGTGAGTCACAGCAACCAACCCATCCTATAGGTTTCCTATTATTGAAACTTCCGCCACCGCTTTGTGCGTTACTACTGGGACGCATCTTGATTTGCAAGGGTAGGAACACGTAGGAACGTTTATCGGTATCTCTTCGTTTCAGCCATGATCAGGGGGAAATGGGGGCTGTCTTTATCCAAGGGGCCGATGTCAATCTTCTGAACAAGAATGGTCAGATTGCTTCCTGGCAAAATTTGTGCAGTTTCACAAGTTTTTGCTAATTCTGTTCAATAAGATAAGACAGGCAACCCGGGTAACCTGCTCCTTGTGCACCTGCTGCGGCGGGCCTTCAACTCAGGCTGTGGTAGCAGCTGCTATCAGCGGAGACAGTTCCATCGTTGAAATGCTTCTAGCAGCCAATGCTGATGTGGATGCTCGCAATGCGAAGCGATGCTGCACTTTTTCGCTGAATGGGTCGGGTTCTTTTAGGAGCGGTCTATTGTACATCATCAAGCGGAGGGCTGGTCAAATGACACGGCTGAAGATATCGAGTTAGAATCATACACTAGCAGAGTACATGGATTGGGACACATTGTCCTTGGTTGCTTCGTTCACTTTCTGAGACATGATTCATGATTTGTGTGGATGCTGAAGGTAATTAGTGAAGGACATTTTAGGTGCCAGAGTCAAACCATATCCTCGCGACAAGGACAATAAAGGGAAAGATGCTACCCTTCCAAAGCTTTCAAAGTTCAAGTGAGCAGAGAAATTTGCATTCGCCGAGTTCTTTTTGAGTGCTATAAAGTTGCAAAGATACAGGTGGTGTGCAGCAATGACAAATTAACTATTCAGCTTGCAAGACTTGGAACGAAAGTAGGATGTGTACTTTGAAACCTTAGACATGGAAAAGTAGCTGTACGAACACTAACCAGCCTGATCCCTGTGACTCATTTCCACTGGACACGGCAAGGAACGGTGTGAGTGCCATAGTTGCTGCTTCTCACTTGGGGCACTACGAGGTGGTGGAAAAGCGTTTTGGCGAAGCACTATGAACGGGTCGCAACGGATTCGATCCTGAATCAGGAACTGAACTGTTGAAAGCGAATGGGTAATCAATGGTAATTCACCCCGCTTCGCGTGGGGTGGCCGCCCACACCGCAGGTTTATTTCGGTCCGTGAGAGGGGCTAAGGGTGGTTTTCCCCCGTGGGGGCTCTTCAAGCTAAGAAGTTTCAAGAAGAAATCCTTCCAAAACATTGTTTTTGACAGTGTTTTTCCAATGTTTCCAGTCAAACAGACGGTAATTTACACGTTTTTTGCCATAAAGGCAGTAAATCCTTCCAAAACATTGCTTTTGACAGTGTTTTTGTAATGTTTCCAGTCAAGCATACGGTAAATTTACACGTTTTTTGCTATAACGTCAGTCCAAAACACTTGTTTTTGCAGTGTTTTCAATGCTCTGGCATCCAAAAACCCTGCAAAATCTTGCTATGTACAATGTTTTTCATCATTTTTGGCCGTTTTTCCATTGCCGGAAAGCTCCCAAAATGACCCAAAATTCCATTTCAATACCCTCTTGCGCTCAGACACCCAAAAATCCTCGAAAAATGTCGAAAACACCACCGTATTCTGGTCTCGGTGCGAAACCGTTTTTGGGGTCTGGTCTCGGTGCGAAACCGTTTTTGGGCCCCCCCCCCCAGCTAAAGCTGATATAGCGACTGCTATATTAACAAATGTCATTGAGCATTTAGTGTTGCTGTTGCCCCCCAATAAGCACGCCTTCACCGCCAAAGCGGTGTGGGCGGATTATGTACAACATAGTGCAGTAACATGTAGTAACTTTCTATATAATGATATGTTCCAATATGATCAGCAACGCAAGCAGTTTTCAGTGACTGGTCTTTGATAGAGACTCTACAAAAGGCTTAGTCCGGCTTCTTGTACAGGAAACAATGCGGAAATAGACCAGGTTTTCATAGGTTTTCTGTGTTACTTGGAACCTACTGTAAGGTTCCCAAAAAGCAGCAGTGTGGCCATACTTGTGAAGTTTCATCGAATTTGCAAACTCAGACACCTGTTATATCCTGTTATCACCTGTTAACATTTACGAGTTGAGATGTTTCAGACACTTTCCAAGAGTCCAATCATGGCACTGCAACAGAGCCCTTGGAACCTGTGTTGACTGGCCGTCAGCATCATTCTTGCGGCGGGCAACTCTCCCTTCCCAGCCCTTCCCAGGTTGATTCAGGCTAGATGTGATGTCGACTCTGTCAACAAGGCCACTTAGTTTTCCATGGAAACCGTCCTCACAATATGCGATTACTTTTTGCTTGTAGACTTGGTCAAAAGGCAGATGCTTGACTCCGGCCAGGGAAATGGTGTTGTCCAAATAATATAGCAAGGATGAAACATGTATGTATCATATATATATATTTATAATTTATTTAATATATATAATTATATATATAATTATTGAATATAAGTATATATATATGATTATATATAATTTGTTATACCCCTTCAATGCTTACTTTAAAGCGTGGCAAACCTGCAGGCCAAAGGGGGTGCAACGCCTGCGGCAGAAATTTAGAAATTGTGGGTCAAAATAGCGGGCCACCCTCCAGCCACTTTTCCCCGAACTAACTTTTGCAGCTCTCCCAGGCCCGCCTGAGAAATCCCCAATCCCAACTGTTTCCACCCAGGTCCTCCCAGGTCCTGCCAGGTTCTCCCAGGTTCTCCCAGGAAATTGGTGGTTTCCTGCGATTTTGTGGGGTTTCCGGTATTTCCTGGGAGAACCTGGGTGGAAACGGGTGGGGGTGCTGAGCGAACACCGTTTTGATATGTATCCTGCACCATTCAAAAACCCACGTTAACACCCAGAAACCTTCAAAAATTAAAACCCAGGCCCCAGAATCCTGATTTATATTATATGCATTTCAGGGGTTTATCAATTTACAAATATATATATACATATATATATTATAGACAACATGTTTCATGGACGTGACCAACGTGCTTGCTGCAACCGCAACCTGATTGGCCTGCATTACAACTATGCCAACATTTCAACAGGATGTACCTACTTAAAGCGGCTAGTCGTTAATACGCTGATCATCTAGGTATAGACACAAAGAATGATTCTGAATTATCTCAGATCTTTTGTTTTCATGAAATTGAGCTAGATTAATCATTCAATGGAACATTTGGAACACGACCAAGCTATGTTTGCTAATCTCTGATCTGAATCTGTCCCAGGCAGGTGCTACCGCGCTTGTAGCTGCCGCTGAAGGAGGGCAACTTGCGGTGGTGGAACTGTTGCTTGAGGCCTTGACTGATGCTACTGATGCTACTGATGCTACTGACGCTACTGATGCTACTGGTTGCTGATACTGCAGGTCTCAAACATTTGGCGGTCTTGGATGCTGTAGATCATTTTGAGTCACCGTGTTCTTTTGAGGATATGGATAGGATGTCAGCCATCAAAATGATCGCTGTCGCGGAACGTTTTCAGAGGTTCAATCTGTGTCCAGGCAATGATGTGAAGGTTCGCTTGGAGCGCCGGAAAGTGGATCGCTTAGAGCGCCGGAAAGTGGATCGCTTGGAACACCGAAATGTGACACCCACAGAGGGATAAGAGATACATAGCGCTAAAGTCTTACATATATACACAGAGGCTCACACAGGCATAGACACATAAATGGATGCATTCATACGTGCCTACACGCAGAAGCACTGAAGCACGCAGGTAGCATGTCAGATGCACGCAGAAATACATGTTCCACGCGATCCGCCTTCCGGCGCTCGAAGTGCTTCTGCCCTCCGACCCTCTAAATAACACAACAGAACATACCACAACATCCCGTTACATTACATAACATTACATTACATTACATCACATACCATTACATAACATTACATTACATCACTTTACAATACATTACAGAACATGCCATTACATCACATAGCGTACGATTACAATACATTAATTACAATATTGCATTGCAGGACATTAATTACAGTACATTACATACCATTATGTTACGTTACACCACATTACATTTACATTACATTACATTACAGTACGCTACATACCACTACATTACATTACAGTACATTACATTACAGTGCACACCATTACATTACAGAACATTACAGTACATTACATACCATTATATGATATTACATTACATAACATATCATTACATTATATACATTAAATTACATTACCTTACATAACATACCATTACATTATATACATTAAATTACATTATACACCTACACACCTACACACCTACACACCTACATACCTACATACCTACATACCTACATACCTACCTGCAGACATGGAGACATGCATACACACACACATATATATATATATATGTATATATATATATATATAGCTTGCAGAAAAAGGGGGGGTACAAAGATACAGGCAGACAGGCAGACATACATAAATACATGCATAGGTGATTATGGATGCATGCAAGCATTGTGCCATGCATGCACATATACACACGGACGCATACACAGACATATGTACATAGAGCATGCATGTCAGCATGGCGATCCAGGGCTGGTGTGGAATCGCGGGGCGCATGAATGGGACGGATAGTGAAGTTTCCCTTTTTTCACCCATTTCTGCTAGTTTTGTGAGTACCTTGGAATTGATTATTGAAGGTTTTGAGATACAGGTGGATAGTGGATGGTGCTGGATGTATATATGGACTAGTGGCCTAAGAATAGAAAGGCCCGGGATGGTGTACGACTAAAAGGTCTCCCTGGTTCTCTAATGTAATCCACCATGCTGGTCCCCTAAACCCGCCCCATGTCCCACTCTGGTGCTCTAATGTAATCCACCATGCTGGTCCCCTAAACCCACCCCATGTCCCAGCCCCGTGTGCCCAAGTCACACCCTAAAGATCTCATTCTCTGGTGCTCTAATGTAATCCACCATGATCACCATGCTGGTCCCCTAAACCCAACCCATGTTCCAGCCCCGTGTCCCCAAGTCAAACCCTAAAGGTCTCATTCTCTGGTACCCCCTCCATGTCCCAGCCCCGTCCCCAAGTCAAACCCTAAAGGTCTCATTCTCTGGTACTTACGTAATCCACCATGCTGGTCCCCTAAACCCACTCCATGTCCCAGCCCCGTCCCCAAGTCAAACCCTAAAGGTCTCATTCTCTGGTACTTACGTAATCCACCATGCTGGTCCCCACCCACTCCATGTCCCAGCCCCGTCCCAAGTCAAACCCTGATAAAGGTCTCATTCTCGGTACTTATGTAATGTGACCGCCATTGCTGGTCCCCTAAACCCACTCCATGTCCCAACCCCGTCCCCAAGTCAAACCCTAAAGGTCTCATTCTTTGGTACTTATGTAATCCACCATGCTGGTCCCCTAAACCCACTCCATGTCCCAACCCCGTCCCCAAGTCAAACCCTAAAGGTCTCATTCTTTGGTACTTATGCAATCCACCATGCTGGTCCCCTAAACCCACTCCATGTCCCAACCCCGTCCCCAAGTCAAACCCTAAAGGTCTCATTCTTTGGTACTTATGTAATCCACCATGCTGGTCCCCTAAACCCACTCCATGTCCCAACCCCGTCCCCAAGTCAAACATAAAAGTTCTCATTCTTTGGTACTTATGTAATCCACCATGCTGGTCCCCTAAACCCACTCCATGTCCCAACCCCGTCCCCAAGTCAAACCCTAAAGGTCTCATTCTTTGGTACTTATGTAATCCACCATGCTGGTCCCCTAAACCCACTCCATGTCCCAACCCCGTCATTCTTTGGTACTTATGTAATCCACCATGCTGGTCCCCTAAACCCACTCCATGTCCCAACCCCGTCCCCAAGTCAAACCCTAAAGGTCTCATTCTTTGGTACTTATGTAATCCACCATGCTGGTCCCCTAAACCCACTCCATGTCCCAACCCCGTCCCCAAGTCGAACCCTAAAGGTCTCATTCTTTGGTGCTTATGTAATCCACCATGCTGGTCCCCTAAACCCACTCCATGTCCCAACCCCGTCCCCAAGTCAAACCCTAAAGGTCTCATTCTTTGGTACTTATGTAATCCACCATGCTGGTCCCCTAAACCCACTCCATGTCCCAACCCCGTCCCCAAGTCAAACCCTAAAGGTCTCATTCTTTGGTACTTATGCAATCCACCATGCTGGTCCCCTAAACCCACTCCATGTCCCAACCCCGTCCCCAAGTCAAACCCTAAAGGTCTCATTCTTTGGTACTTATGTAATCCACCATGCTGGTCCCCTAAACCCACTCCATGTCCCAACCCCGTCCCCAAGTCAAACATAAAAGTTCTCATTCTTTGGTACTTATGTAATCCACCATGCTGGTCCCCTAAACCCACTCCATGTCCCAACCCCGTCCCCAAGTCAAACCCTAAAGGTCTCATTCTTTGGTACTTATGTAATCCACCATGCTGGTCCCCTAAACCCACTCCATGTCCCAACCCCGTCCCCAAGTCAAACATAAAAGTTCTCATTCTTTGGTACTTATGTAATCCACCATGCTGGTCCCCTAAACCCACTCCATGTCCCAACCCCGTCCCCAAGTCAAACCCTAAAGGTCTCATTCTTTGGTGCTCTAAGTGATCTGCTTTTTGGTGCCGTAATTGATCCCATGGTGCTCTAACCGATCCGGTGCTTTAAGTGATCCACTTTCGTGCTGTAAGTCATCCCTGAACATCCTTAACCATGTGAGGCCGAGGCAAATGTCAACCATGCTCCTTGGCCTTTGCAGAGAGTCAAAATTTGGAGATCTGTTTTGGGAATGACTGTGGGTAGCTCCATTTCTATCCTTTGTCAGGACTTCTAGGAAGGTGCTTTCAAGCGTTGCCATCCTTTCTCAGGTAATTGCCTGCAGGAAAACTCAAATGAGTGCACTGGACACAAAATTGAAACGTGTGTTTGCATATGAATCATCAGTTCCAAGATGCCTGCATTTTTTGTGGAAGGTTGGCGCTATGCAGTCCACGCCACTTTTTGCAGCTGTGCAGGACTGCTTTCGCACAGACACAGAGGGAACTGTTTTCCATGCAAGACCCCTCGTTGTTTGAACGTGGCCTGCCTTTTCAGAAAGGAAACTTAAACACCAGATGCTTGTGTCGGAACCACGGGCCCAGGTCGGAATATATGCCACTGAATACCTGCTTTTGAATGCAATGTGTCAGGAGGGGCATGAAACCATTGTATCTTTGCTGCTGAAAAACAACGCAGAGCCAAATCACGCTGCTCGAAGCAATCAACTGATGGTCATGGTGAGAACCAAGGTTTTTTGTCATGCTTTTGATGCTGCAAGATGAAGGTCCTCAGGAATTCCTTTAGCCAATGAGCATTAAGACCATCATGCAAAATCACACAGAACGGTTTAAGAGATGAGAATCTGATGAGAAGGTTTCTGTTGGCTGCCAAGTGATCAAGGTGGCAGCAAATGGTGCCAGTGCACTTGCAGTTGCAGCCCAGTTGGGCCACTCGGTCGCTCTTGGCATGTGAAGAGTCGCAGAGCAAGTCGTGATTTCTGACGTTTCAGTCATACCCTTGAATTCTTCACCGCAGCACTTGCTTGCATCCAACAGAGGATTTGCCAACGTTGCATCATCTCTTCTGCAATCAAATGCTATGGTGGACTACCAGAATGAGCAGGTCATGAATGCCTCTGCTTTGGTGCAATCCTCCCAACAGGGTCATGTGGATGCTTGGTGCAACGACGATGTAAGACTCACGGGAGCCAACAAAGTTGGGAAATTGGCTGTTGTTTCAGACAATCACTTCAGCGCCTCATTTCTTTTCTCAATTTTCTTCGCAAACTGAGCAAACGCAGGAATTCCAGTTTGCAGCCTTCACTGACATGCCCTGGCCGTCGTTCAAGATAAAGCTGCCTTCCGTGCTGCGTCAATCATCGTGCATCTCAATATTCGATACAGCAGAATAAAACTCAACTCATATCAACCCGTTATTCTTTTCTACGAAGGCGGAGATACCATTTTAGGAACGGGAAGTTGCTGCATTGCTGTAAACACTGTAAGCATCTGTAAGCACTTTTGCTTTCTTGGCAACCAACATCTCGGGCTGTCAGACAAGACTCCTTGGTCTTTTTCCATCCTTGATCCTTTTCCATCCTTTTTTACCCCAAGTTCGTTCATGAACTCTCCTTGCATGTCTCTGGAGTTGAATCATGCGTACCCTGCAGCTTCTGTGTCAGTTTCACAGCGTGCCTGTGGAATGCAATGATACAGTCCTTTGGTGTTTGACGTCAAACACTGCTGTGAGCAGCTGCGTAAGTTGTCCCAACATGTCCCAACATGTCCCAACATGTCCCAACAAAAACCTTCACTAGCACAAGTACCTGGCAGCTTCTGACGTCACATCCGTTTGCTCTCCGGCATCTCAAGGACATGGTGGAAGTGCTGCTTGCGGCAAAGGCTTCAGTGGATTTACCATGCAGTGATGGTGCAACGGCTCTCATCCTGGCCTCTCAGGTCTGCCGGTTGAATGGTTTGGATGGTTTGGCAAGTGGCTTTTGGCGGTTGGAGTTTCACAGATCAGTGAGATGGATATAGATGGATACACAATGATACTAAATTACACTGACATACCATGATACACCAGACTCAGAATGCAAGCATGGACAGCGAGGAGTTGAAGATTAAGGTCATTTTTGTTTACAGAGCACCAGCGCCACAAAATCTGACAGGTGGGCCACCAGGCAGTCGTGTCCAAGCTGCTAGCGACTTGGCTTAGCAAAGTGGCTGCGGCAATGGCTGTTTGTTTGGCTTGTTGTTTTTGTGTTTCTCCATTTATTAATTAGTTGTTGGGCTGTGAGTCAAAACAAAAAGAATAAATGACAGTACAAGGAAGCCATTTGACAGGCTTTGCAATCACTAGTCACTAGTCACTGGTTCTCTCCCCAAGTTGTATGGTGTCACATGTGAAGTACTCACATTTGAATGGTATGGGCAAGCTCTCTACAACTCTTTCGAGACGGAGCAATATGAGCACTGCAAAGTGTTAGGTGGTAGTGATAGCAGTTACAAGTGACAACTTGTAGATCTTAGCTGCAGTGATGATATGGTCATTTTTATGATCACATATGATTATTATTATTATTATGTCATATTTATAGTCTATCAGCCTGCACTCGGCCTATGCGATCTAATGTGATCCAGTCAGGCTGCAAGGGCAGACCCCAACAGGGGCCGCAACGATGGTGGGACGGCGCTCATGTTTGCTGCACAAGAAGGCCATTTGAAAGTGGCGAAGTACCTTGAGCTGATTTGAGCTGCAAGCGCTAGTGACTGCTAGTTACTGCTAGTGACTGCTAGTGACTGCTAGTGACTGCTAGTGACTGCTAGTGACTGCTAGTGATTGCTAGTGGCTGCTAGTGACTGCTAGTGACTGCTACTGGGTGACTACGCTGACAACGTTTCTGCGGTAATATGCAGTAACTTACACTTTGGACACTTTTGGACAAGAAGTGTTGTGTTTTTGTGCAGCTAGAGGCGTGCGTAGGTGTGGTTTGGAAATACCTTAATTTTGCTACAGTAAACTTCCAGTTGTTCTGCAAGTTCTGGAAGGGCCGGAAGTTGAAGTTGCATGAGAGCAATAGCAATGCCTCCCCTAAGCATACCATACAATAGCGATTATGCCATAATCCACAGCAGCAAAAAGATTCACAACATGCAATGTATATATATATAAGAATGCACACCTCAAAACACTGTTGCTGCTTGTTTCCTGCAGCATACACACCAATGGAGCGCTCAACAAGAGAGAGGGATAAACACCGTATCAGCATGTACTAGTTAGAATCGACCAAACTGGCAGCTTGCTTGAACTTGATGTTTCAGCCCCCTCCGCCATGCTAAGCCAGCAACCTTCAGCAGCGTTCCGCCGAACCATCAAACAACAAACAGATTGGGAACAGGCGTTTCTACAATGATACGAAAGATCAAGCATTGCATCATTTTGCACTGTTGATGGAAGGAACATGACGACATCCTGCTGATCAACAAAAACAGGGAAAACAGGGAAAACAGGGAAAACAGGGAAAACAGGGAAAACAGGGAAAACAGGGAAAACAGGGAAAACAGGATACATGTGATCCAAAGACATCACGAGACGTTTCCCTGTCATACCGGTCATACCGTATCTCCCAAACTTTGATGTGCCCAGGCAGCTGCTGACTGCTGGTGCCGATGCTATGGCTTGCGCAGCATCCGGAGCCACTGCCGTGTCCCTGGCAGCGAGAAATCAAGACAAGGCCATGCTACGTTACCAGGCGGAAGCGAGGACAATTGCAGCTGAAGTTATGCAGTGTTTTGTTGACAGATATATATATATCTATCTATCTATCATATGACTATACAGACTATAGATGACATTTGGTGTCAAAAGGCATTTATTTGGGAGATTCAGCTGAGATTCACATTTTATGATTTACATGATTTACAATGTCTGTAAAAGAGCATCCAGCAGAGCCATTCTGGAGGGCAGAAGTTGAAGAGCCCGGACGAATTCATTAAAGTTCCCATTCTGGATGAACCCGATTCGTGGGAAATACATGGAAATACATGGAAATACATGGACATTGTGACTATACTGTATAAATCCCTACCCTCTTAAAAATTGGATTTGAGGGAGGGGAGTCGTACTGAAATTTCATTTTAAAATTCCATTTTTGCAATCATGCTTTCTCAATGATCAATATTCCTCATCATTCCATGTCATTGGCAAGCAGATGAAAATTAAATACTTGCGCTTAGCTCCGGAGGAGCCAAGCACATATCAGACTGAAGCAGCACATGTGTAGGGATGCCATCCCTCCAAAAATTGCGCTGTCGTCATCATACTTGCGCTTAGCTCCTCCGAAGCTAAGCGCAAGTATTTTCTAACCAGTGCGCAAGGCTTGTTAAGAAATGTTACTTTACAATTCCATTTGAGGGGTTGGATCACTATCCCAGGGTTTCCAAGCAAAAAAAAGTGGAATTCGACAAATTGGTTTTGTCCCCCCCGCCCTCCCCCTCTAGAGGGGTAGGGATCTGTATAGTCTCTGTTTCGTCTCTGTATAGTCTCCGTGATCCAGTTCTCTCCGGGAGATGAGTTGGAAAGGCACACCCTGAGGTTGCTTGATGGCAGCTGGCAAAGACGCACCCTTCGATTTGGACGAGTTGTTCGATGGTAAGACATAAAAATGAGCGAAGCTGACGTCCCCAGGAAGCCTTGGAATCATATCTCTTCATTCTTTTGATATCCATTTGTTTGACTGAGGGGATGCAAACATGTGCAATGCCTTGGGGAGGTGGCGAAGTCCCAGCCATTTGCTTTAAAATCAACGCTAGCAGCTAGATGTAGCTACTCGTAGCATGTTGCCTTGGGACAGCTCATGCCTTTGTAATTGTTAGGTCACAGCACGGATGGCTGATACGCGGAAACAGCTTCAACAGCAGGAGAGGGCCAAGGGCCATGGGACTGGGTCGGGCACTGGAAGAAGAACCTCGTGGACAGCAAGTTGATGTGTTTTGTGTTTTGTGTTGGTGATGATGATATTATGATGATCGTGAAGATGAATCAAGATGAAAATATGAATATGAAGACGACACGCTGTCTATAATATTCTATACTCACAATTCTGAGTTTATGGTGCCACACAAATCTCTGTACCGGCTTTAGAGTCAAGAGCAAATATGGCAAGGCAGGGGAACTTGGGTACTCATAAAAGGCACAGTATGACTTAGTGGAAGACCAATCAAAGGATGCGTTTGCACTACGCGAGAATTTCACAGGGCAGGACTGCAATATAAATATTAATGTAATCTATATTATATATATATACATAAATCTACATAATATTATTGTTAATCTCTATAATATTCGAATATTATCATTAATATTACATAATTAATATGTTAATGGGATGTTTGCCAATAGTACCAGTCCCAAATTCACGAATTGCAAGTCCTTGTAGAAATTGCAACGGCAGAAGGAGATGTCTGCGCAAGAGCTGCATGCTCTTGACCTAGAAAGAGCTGACGTTGTTGGAAGCCCAGTCACATGAATCGTACAAGCTTGGGTGCCTTGTGTTCTTTCTTATCTTTCTTGGCCAGACTTGAATGAAGCTCTCGACCTAGGGCGGTGAGTCATTATAAATCTTACCTCATCAAATCATATCAAATCAATTTTTCCATGCGGTGTTACGAGCGATTTTCCATGATCTTCTTGCTAAAGCGAAGAATGTTGAGATTAAGATGTGACTCAACTTCACGAATTTGAACCGCTGGCAACCTCGTCAGCAAAATGCTGTCAAACCATCCATTCCTCAGCCTGGGAATGCTCCAGTTGCCATAATAAAGCATCTATCTCCTCAGCTTCACACACACAGTGTCCAAGGCAAGGCTTCACGAGCAGATATGCCTCGAAAATCGAGAAAAAGAGGCGATGCTTGAATGGCAGATTGCTGTCGTGAGTTGGCAGTCCTCATCATGATTGAATCTCGAGAGCCTCCTGACCACAATGGAGCATTGCAGTATGAGTATAGTATCAATATTGTGAAAACAGTAGTCTGGCTGGAAACCTTCATGGAAGGGCTTGTTGGAGAAGGTAAGCTTTTCAAGCACTACAGTACCAATCGAATTCAAATGAATTCAAGCTGATGTATTCCTTGCGTACACTCGTGCATGCACATCTGACACTTTGTTTCCGGTCTCTTCCAATGTGGGTTCACGCCAGATGTACTTGGCATCCCATTGACTTTTTTTTTGCATGATGTGCTTGATTTTGTTTCAAGATGTTTTAAGATGCTTTAAGACGTCTATACTATTATACTACATGCCATTGTCCTATCGTCTGCAATTGCCTGGAGGTCACCATCACTCGACTCAACAACGATAAGGACTTGGCGAGACGAGTGGCAGGTCCTTGCTTTAGTGTGAGTTGAGCGGTGGCACCGTGGAAAATCAAATTAAAATAGATAGGTTACAGACCTTGTATTATATTTGACCGTATAATATTGGAAATCCACAGAGTGCCAGTGCTTGCTTGGCTGGATAGTTTGAGACTTCATGTTGGGGTTGCTTGGTGTTGCTCCTATGTTTCACCATCACAGGTGAGCTTGCGGCAGAACTGCGCAGGGTTCAGGGCTTGCAGGCAGCTGGGAGGGAACCGGAGCCAACCTCTGGAACTAAGTGCCCACCAGTGCATCTAACGACATGGCATGCGTAGCTTTGCCCAAATGACCCAACTTGCACCTGGGTTGACAGATGTTCTGAGGTCATTCCCAAGTGTGTGAATTGTTTGTTCTTGGATGTCTGTCTACGGCAACGGAGCACAAAGTAGAGGAGAGTGACAACCCGTGAGGGACAGCCTGCGTGCGTTGTGCAAAGACCCTAGGGGCAGCTTTCCTCGCAGGACACTTGGCATGACCGAGCTGAACAATATCAGCTGGACATTCTGGTGATGCAGGTGTTGGAAGTGCAGCAGTAACCAAGGGCAGCTGAGTCCCAAGTTGCGTTCGATCACAGAGCCAAGCAGCTTTTGGCAGAGGAAAGAAATTTCAAGTTGTGTGAGTTGTGTGGCTCTGCCTCAAGCTAGCATCAATTTAGAAGACACACTGCGCTTCCAAGACCTATTTTACTACAGTAATATTGTAATCATATAGTGATTCTTAGTGTATGATTCTGGATCAACTGCCTTTGATATGTAGCGCCAGAGTGAACTTGATGTAGGTTGGGTCAGAATAAGAAAGCCCAACGAATGCTCGCCAAAAGATCATAAGAGATCTACTGGGCCAATGTTTGGTCATGATATTTAGCATTTGAGCCAGGAACAGATTTCTGATATCAACCAGAGGGTCTCTTCCTGTGAAGAATCGCAGCAGAAGGCGCCTTGGCTCTTGGTGTGTCATCCGAGTTGAACAGCATGGTGCAGCATCTTGCCATGGCAACAGGAAGGAGGCAAACTTTTTAAAGCTGTAGCCACTGTAGCGCTTTGCTTTCATAATAACGACGAATAGCCACAGTGGTATACAGTGGTAATCAGTGGTAGCATGTAGCTGCTGGCAGGCCCTGGAGGAAGATGCAAAACTCAAGGCCGATAGAATCCGATACAGCTCTCCTATCCTGTTCTGTTATTTTCGTCATTTGGTTGACCAGTGCGCATGGCGGTCATGCTGGATTTCGTGATGTGTGGTGCAATGGACTCATGATGAGAAAGACATTGCCCAGAGCCCAGCATGAATTGCGGCAGCAATGTCTGCATGAAGACATGAAGAGGACATAGGTTCCCCATGCCCGATAGTGGTCAAAGCTTGGGAGACTCAGTACATCGAAGTGGTTCTCGGGAGCAGTTCTGTGCACAGGGCGATGTGGCAGCTGCCTTTAATGCAGCACAAGGTGCAGACCGAAGCGAGGCGAGGGCATTCGAAAAGCAGAACTCTCTGACTAACGACATACTAACGACATACTAACGACATACTAACGACCAACCACCTCAGATCTTCCAGTCATAGAAGAATATAGCAGACAATGTCACTGACATCCACTGGCAAATTTTGTCGTGTTGCAGTTGCCGACCCTTTCGTCGGGCCCCTGGCTGCACAAAGGCAGTTGAAGCCCATGCAGTGGCGTCACTACGGCTGAGGCGCAACTCAATCTTGGTTAGCCGATGGTCTGAAACTGTTCTATTGTTGCAAATCCGCTTTTCCTGTGCCACTCTGCGGCCACAGCGTGAGCGTTTTTTGATTTCGCTAAGTTCAATGATCAACCTTTCTGTGATCCATCAGATCCATCAGGTCCGCTGTGCTGCATGTCTTGCAGGCGGCATCAAATTCAGTCCGCTCTGCAGCAGACCAAAGTGGAGGTGGGGGACAAATTCAAGCCGCAGTAAGAAGCATGCATGATCATAGGAAACGTGTCTAATGTGTCACTTTGTCACTTCCCCAAATTAAAAAGACAGTATGAAAGGGTTCAGTGCAAAAATTAGAGAGCAAGTGTCTTTTTCATATGTGTTCATCCTTGCCAAAGTCCCCCTGGAATCTGGGGCCTGGGGGATTCTAAGTTAGACAGTTGCACGGACAAATCAGATTTGAATATGCGCTCCATTGTGATACATTGTCAAATACATTGTGATACATTGTGATACATTGTGATACATTGTGACAATCGCGCTCCATTGGACACCTTGCTGGCCTGATGCCCGGCCACGCAGATCGCTTCTCAGAAGCGTTCTGCTGAACAGAACTGGTCCCAGGCGCGGTGCCCAGAACAGCCGCTGAAGGGATTTATGAAGAGAGATCTTAAGAGAAATCAATTTGAGTTTGTTCAACTTGCTGTTTTTTCTTGGGGGTGGCCTGCATCATATTCTTCAATTCCTCTCAAATGGATATGGCTGCTTAAGTTTTAATGGTTGAGGCACTCAATCTCAATTCATAGAAGAAATAGAAACTTCTAGTTCGTAAGACACATAGCAACATCACGCAGATAGCGACTGATCGGAGTGCGCAGAGGTTTTTCCAGGTGGGTTCATTTGATACTTGAGCAAACAGATGAAAGATGTTGAACGGATTCTTCCCGACTCACAGTTATGTTATAACCATGTCATAATTATGTCATAGTAGTTGTCATAGTAATTAGTTGTCATATTGTCATATTACAGGCTGTATTAGTTGTCATGTGGGTTGAAGCTCTCAGAGTCTTCAGCGAGCAGGTGAGCCGACTGCAGGAACTTTTGGACCTGGGTCAGGTGAAGCTGAATCGCTGCACAGCAGAACTCCAGGCCCAGAAAGCATACAAAAGATATTGATTTTAAAAAAACAGTTCACACAATGTTTAACAAAGTGGATGGTGGTTGGTGGTTTTGCAGAACTGGAATATGTAATTGAAAAAACATAGGTAGATGGATGTATATGCATGGATATTTAATATTATGTAATATTATATAATTAAATTATATATAGCCAGATACAGTATAATCAGTACTGGTTGGTATGTAGGTTTTTGCTGGTTTTTGCTGGTTGGTGTTTTTTCCCTCTCCATCCTTTGTTCCAACGCCATTTTGCGTAGTGGCCGTAGTGAGCCTGTGTGAGACATCAGAAAAGCCATTTGAGTAGCATCCCCGGTTTCACCTAAATTTCAAGACAGCCAAGGCTAGGAGACCTACATAGAACATCATAGAACTACAGTACCCAAGCAAAATCATTTTCACTTTCGGAGATTCGGAGGCGTTGCAGAAGTTTCAGTCCGCGAGTTCTACCTCTCCTTTGGCAATAGGCATGGTGCCTTTTGCTTGTGACCTGACTAGAAAAAGTTCCGGGACAGTGACAGTTTGTTACTCGCTTTCTCAATTTGGCTTCCTCGCCGTGCTCATAATATTCTGTCGCCTTTTTCAGGCAGTTTCAACGCTGACCAGAACAAGGAATAGGTAGAAAGAGCTCTCATGCCCTTTGTCTAGCGCAGGTGGTGAGGGCAGCCAAAGCCTGTGACTCTATTGCACTATGTGTCACGCTTTGCAGACAACAACGCTACCGTAGATGGACGAAATATTCAAACCCTTTTCATCAAATACAACCCCCTGCCCCCAAAGTTCAATGTTAATGTCAACTGAAGTGTGTTGGCCCCAACGCACGAAACAAATCAAACCCCTATAGCAGCAAACTTGGTAGCACGCACGGTGAAACATTGAGATTTGGGCAGTGGGGGGATCACCACAAAATGCTTTGCAAGGTTTGAATTTTGTCCATCTACTGTAGTAGGCAAGTGATGGCAGCTGTTTTGAAGACATTGGACTCAAGGCTGTCTTGGTGAAAGTGTTACAGTATTTTGATTTCTTAGTCTCTGCCCCTTGCTGAGCACGTGACAATTCTTTCAACCATGATGTTGATATTCGACCAGTTCAGCTCCTATGTCCTATGCGTTTCGTTGTTGTCTCCTTTCAATGGAACCGAATCCTTTTGTGCAGATAATTGAACGAATTATATCGATGCTTTCTCTAGATGGCTGTGGCTGCGGGGCAAAACTAGAGCAACGCTGCCAAAGTGGTATACAGGTCAGAATCCCGTACAGTGTGTACAGGCTACTTTGCCGTGTTTTGCCGGGGACTGTTGTGGGTCTGTTCCATGATGAATCAATGCAAAAAAAACGTGCATGAAACCGTGCATGGGTTTATCTTACCAGAATAGCGGTGTCAACGGAATCCTCTCCTTGCACATATGGTTAATTGGATTTAATTGGTTGGACCCTTAGCCGCCCAGGACATCCAAACTCAAGGACCTGGTGGAACAAAGATACGCCAAGGCCAGGGCCAGGGTGCCGGGTTTTCATCCAGAAATTGCAGAGATGTTGATGAGGAGGAGATTTCTTGAGCCGACGTATTGTTAATGTCTCTTTCCCTCTATCTCTATCTATGGTATACTCATACATATTACATATCAATTCCACATAATGATACATCCGTATATTATCATATCATATCAACTCATATCATCATATTATACTACATTACACTATATTGTATTATATTATAGTGTATTGTATTATATTATGTTATTATATTATTTATGTAATATATTGCTTTGTTTTGTTTTATATATTGTATTATCGAAGGAAGTTTAGAAGTCAAACTTCCGACAATATGGACAGATGAAAAGCAGAGATGGGAAGAGTCAGAGAGAAGAGAAGAGTAGAAGAGAGAAGATCAGAGAAGAGAAAGAGTCAGAAGAAAGAAGATGGAGATGCGCGAAAAGGTAGGCAAGTCGAGAAAAACTGTGTTTTTCCATGTTTTTCGAATGATTTGGGGCTCCGGAGGGTCGAAAAGTAGGCTCGCTAAAGCAGCGGGCGCGGAGCCATCTGGCCAGATGAGAGATTAAAAAATTGCACGCCGTTGTGGCGCGAAGCACATTTCCAAGTCATTTTTTTCAAAACACCACATGTTCGGACCACTTTTGGAAGTTGCGATGTGGAAAAAGTGTACGCCGTTGTGGCGCGAAGCACATTTCGACTTCAAACTGTACAAAACACAGCAGCTCCGGACGACGTTTGGAAGTTGCGATGTCGAAAAAGTGCACGCAGTTGTGGCGCGAAGCACATTTCGAAGTCAAAATTTTAAAAGCATTTAAAAACACCAGGGGTTCGGACCACTTTTGGACGTTCAGATGTCGTTTCGCGTGGCAGGCGCAAGTGATTGTGGACCTTGTCAAAAGTGAGCAAAGTGTGAGGGTTTTGTAACATTTCCAAAAACGATGGCAGGCGTGGGACATTTGAAGAGGATCTGCAAAGATGCATTTTCCGTGGCAGGCGCGGTACAGGAGACATCTTCATCTGATTTCCTGAGATGGGTTGCATTTTGGAGCCTCAGATCTTCAGGTTTGCTGAGATGATTTTGCATGACAGGTGCAGCACTTCGTATGACCTGGCATCACTTTTTCATGGCAGGCGCAGTAGTTTAGACAGGTGGACTAGAAAAATCGCAAAACGCATTGGTACGAGGCCGTCAGCGCTGCACGCAACTTTCCATTTTTGAAGGAAGTCTCGCAGAATTGCTTCGTTTTTAACGTTGTCAAGTTCGAACATGGAGGAAGTCTCGCAGAATTGCTCCGTTTCTGATGTTGTCAAGTTCAAAAACTGAGGGCGTCTCGCAGAATAGCTTCGTTTTCAAGCTTGCAGATAGACAGGTAGATAGATAGACAGACAGGCAGACAGACAGAGAGATAGATAGATAGGTAGATAGGTAGACAGATACATAGTTAGATAGACAGATGAGATAGATAGATAGCTAGATAGATAGATAGCTAGCTCAAAACCTGAGGATGTCTCGCAGAATAGCTTCGTTTTCAAGCTTGCAGATAGGCGGTAGGTAGATAGACAGACAGACAGACAGATAGACAGATAGCTAGGTAGGTAGGTAGGTAGGTAGATAGGTAGATAGGTAGATACATAGTTAGATAGACAGATGAGATAGATAGCTAGATAGATAGCTAGATGGATGGATGGATAGATAGATAGATGGATAGATAGACATCTAGATAGATAGATAGGTAGGTAGATAGATAGATAGATTGGATGGATGGATAGATAGATAGATGGATAGACAGATGGATAGATAGATAGACAGATGGATGGATAGATAGACAGATGGATGGATAGATAGACAGATAGACAGATGAGAGAGAGAGAGAGAAAGAGAGATAGATAGATAGATCAATCGATCGATCGATAGATAGATAGACAGACAGACAGGCAGGCAGGCAGGCAGGCAGGCAGACAGAGAGAGAGAGAGAGACAGATAGATAGATAAATAGATAGGTAGATAGAAAGATAGAAAGATAGATTAGATGGATGGATGGATGGATAGATCGATAGATGGATAGACAGATGGATAGATAGATAGACAGATAGACAGATGAGAGAGAGAGAGAGAAAGAGAGATAGATAGATAGATTGATTGATTGATAGATGGATAGATTGATAGATTGATAGATATATCGGTAGGTAGGTAGGTAGGTAGGTAATCAGAGAAAGGGAGAAAAAGAGAGAGAAAGAGAGGAGACATCAATCACCTTTCGATCCATCAGTGGCTTCGCTCTGCCATCCGTGATTCACAACAACCTAGCTATGATTTAAAAATAGATTAAAATACCAGTAGTACCGCGCAAGGCGGTGGCGGAAGTTTCAAAAATAGGAGACCTATAGGAGAGATTGGTTGTTGTGAATCACGGATGGCAGAGCGAATCCACTGATGGACCGAAAGGTGGTTGGAGCTGTGTTTTTTGGAGTGGCTGCAATGGTTGCAGTAGTCACCCGGTCGGTCACCTCACCCACAACTGCTGGATGTAGTGTGGTGTAGTGCAGCTGTAGTTGTAGCTGTAGTCTAGTGGAGTTGTAGTTATGGTGTAGTGTACCTAGTGTAGCGTAGTTGCAGTTGCATTTAGGGTGGTGTAATGAGTGTATTGTCATGTAACATAACGTATATAATGTAATGCAATGTGGGGTAGGGTAGTGTAGTGTAGTGTAATTGAGTGTAGTGTGGCGTGGTGTAGTGTGGTGTAGTGTAGTGTAATGCAATTAGTGTAGTGTAGTGTAGTGTAGAGTAGCGCGGTGTAGTGTAGTGTAGTGTAGTGTGTTGTGTAGTGTAACGTAGTGTGTTGCGTAGTTTAGTGTAGTGTAGTCTAGTGTAGTGTAGTGTAGCGTAATGCAATTAGTGTAGTGTAGTTGTAGTTGTACTTGTAGCGTTTCGTAATGTATTGTAGTTGTAGTTGTAGTTGTAGTTGTACTTGTAGTTGTAGTTGTACTTGTAGTTGTAGTTGTAGTTAGTGTAGTGTAGTGTAGTGCAGTGTCGTATAGTGTAGTGTACTTAGTGTAGTGTAGTGCAGTGCAGTGCAGTGCAGTGCAGTGCAGTGCAGTGCAGTGTAGTGTAGTGTAGTGTCGCGTGGTGTCGTGTAGTTCAGTGTAATTGAGTGTAGTGTACCGCAGTGTAGTGGAGTGTAGTGTAGTGAGGTGTAGTGTAGTGGAGTGGGGTGTAGTGTAGTGTAGTGTAGCGCAGTGTAGTGTAATGTACTTAGTGTAGTGTAGTGTAGCCTATGTAGTTGTAGTCGTAGTTGGTGTGATGTAGTGTAATGTAGCGTAGTGTAGTGTAATGTCATGAGTGTAGTGTAGTGTAGTGTAGTGTAGTGTAGTGTAGTGTAGTGTAGTCTATGTAGTTGTAGTTGTAGTTGTAGGTGTAGTGCAGTGTCATTCAGTGTGGTGTAGTGTAGTGCAATGTAGTGTAGTTTAGTTGTAGTGTAGCGTAGTGTAGTGGAGTGTAGTGTA